TAGGTCACTGAAAGTGTGTATGTAGAAAACGATTTTCTACATACACGCTTTCAGCTCCATCTCTCTCTCTCTCTCTCTCGAAGTGCAGCACATCGGCACTGAAAGCTGAAGGACAAGCCGAAAAGCGCGGACTAAGAAACACGGGATTGGCACTTTCGCTCACGCGCTGCGAGGGTCCAGGGCTTGCGATTTGCGGCTTCTACTGTTTTGCAAGCGCTTCTATCCTTTCTGTGCGGGCCAGAAGCTTTTCGTCTCGCCAGACCGAATAAAAACACGGGTTCCATGACTGGACACTAGACATTTGTTGTTTTGCAATCAGGACCTTTGGAAAACCTCTCAGGCTGCTGAAGATTCAGGGTTTACGGTTGCTTGTGGACGAGCAGCCTTCCCCAATCACATGCGGAGGCTTGGCAATGACGATGAGCATGTCCTTCAATTGGTCAAGTGCAAGGAAACATGGCAGACTGCTTCATCTCAACCTGGTGCCCTGAACCCCCAACGGCGGAAACTAAGGCCTTAACAACTAGCGTCCATGCAACCTGATCTCCATGCGCTATCGCTGGAGTGACCGAAGGCTTGAACCTGTCATTGTCCTGGCTGAGTAACTCAGATGTGGGTTAATTCCGGAAGCTGTGAGTGACAGGGGCTCCTATTCAAGATGATTACCAGCTAACCAACCGCCTTTAGCACCACCATGATCTTGACATGCTCTTCCACCCCCAGAACAAGGATGTTACAGACCAGCTATGCTCTATTCATGAAGCCAGAGAAGAGAGGTACCAAGAACCAGTCAAGCAGTCTTGGCAATGCAGGTTTCTTGAGGCTGACACTATATCAGTTGGAATGCTTTGCAGGGCCTTCCAGCTGTCCAGGTCACCAGTCTCTGTGCTCCCGTATTCGAGGTTATAATGTGTGCGACAAATCCCCAAACCCTAAACCCTAAACCCTAAACCCTAAACCCTAAACCCTAAACCCTAAACCCTAAACCCTAAACCCTCAACCGCGGCATATTTGTCTAAGGTTGCGACCCTTGACAGTCAAGAGGCTCTGGAAAAAAGATCGCAAAGCCTGTTAAACGCTGGGCAAGAAAAAAAACAAACGAGTTCACCACGATCTATCCCTCTGAGACATTATCAATCACTTCCTTGTTTCCGGCACGAACTCGTTCACAGGTTCATGAGCTCAGTATCACCTGTCACCTGTTAGCAAGCCCCCTGAGCAGACTAAACAGTAGAACGCCGAAGGGAAGAATGCTGTGGCAGTACCGGGGTCCTGCATTTTGGCACAGCGATATGCTATCCGACCCTCATTTCCCTTCAAGTGTCAAAGGAAGCCTCGGAATCGAAAGCCTTTGGGACGCTGCAAATGTCAGACTTGCTTTATTGAATGCCCGCAGTCCCCCTTATTTGGTTTAGGCTTGTATGCTCGAACTCCTTATCACCTCGACGTCCCAAACCTGACTCCCCCTCCCCCAGATGCTCTCTGAGATTCCTCAGGCGCGAAACCTAGTCACGGGTTCGAACTTGGGCTTCGGAGCTAGCACGGTGCTTCGGTGCTTTGTGGAGCCCTAAACCCTAAACCCTAAACCCTAAACCCTAAACCCTAAACCCTAAACCCTAAACCCTAAACCCTAAACCCTAAACGGGTGCTGTTCAGATGGACTCAAGCTCTGAGGGAAGGCTTACGGTTTGGATGTTCCCCCATATACTAACTTACTGACAGTCCTTAATTGGGATTATAGTATCCCCCTATAATAATCCCTATTAAGGACCCCCTTATACTAACAGTCCTTAATAGGGATTCTAGTACCCCCACCCCCCCCACCCCCCCCCCCCCCCCCCCCCCCCCCCTATTATAATCCCTCTAAGGACCAATTATACTAAACAGTCCTTAATAGGGATTATAGTCCCCCCCCCCCCCCCCCCTAGTAGAATCCCTATTAAGGACTGTGAGTATAAGGGGGAGCATCCCAAGCTTACGCGATTGTGCTGCATGGACTTCATGTTATGCCAGCCGCTAAGACCAACAACAAAACGATGCGAACTTCTCTGATTGAGACTTTCTTCTGCGCTTTCTTATTCTTTCTCTCCCTCCCTCCTTCAGTCCCCCTTGAACGTCCTTTAGCAATCTCAGATAGCGTGCAACATGCAATCATGCATCGGCCCTCAAGCCTGATGTCAGCTGATGTTTCATGTTGTATCCTGATTAGTGTGCTTCCCCGGAATTGTGGAAAAAATCCAAAAACTATTCAGGGGGATCTATTTGAGGAGGACCCCCGGAATTGTGAAAAAAAATCGGGCGATGCAAAATTTCGGCGAGGCTGTCGAATGGTGCTGAGGTTGTCGGGCCCTGAAATCTTCAGCCTCCAGGCCAGACCCAAAACTAAGATTTCCTTATAAAATTCTTTTGTACCGAGGCCGGGCAATCAAATTTCAAAGGGGGTAGTCCAGCAGCTGCCCGGATGCCGTATAATATACAAAGTTTGCTCCCCCGGAATTATATTTTTTTTTGCGGGCTGGCTTGGTTGGGATAGATGGATCCCCTTTAAATTCATATAAACTCATCCCTCTTAAAATCGTATGGATCCCTCTTAATTTCATATAGTCTCACCCCGTTTAGAATCATATGGATCCCTTTTACACTCATACGAGCTCATCCCTTTTAAAATCATATGGATCATATGGATCCCTTTTAAATTCATATAAACTCATGCCTTTTAAAATCATATAAAACCAGACCCCCCCCCCGCCCCCCCCAAATTGCCCCCCCCCCCCACACTAAAGAGCGGGATCCTTTCGTGGGGGGGGGGGGGGGGGGGGGGAGGGGGGGGCCACACTAATCAGCAGACAACATTATACACCGGAGCCCAATGTCCCAACACCCCGAACCCCAAACCTTGAAAGCAACTTGGGCTGCGGGTTCACCCCTAAACCCTAAACCCTAAACCCTAAACCCTAAACCCTAGACCCTAAACCAATGTTTGGAGCATCCGGCGAGGTGCGGCGCATCTCGTCCCAATCGGGAGGATTCAGCTGCCACAGCATTTGCCCTTCCTCAGCTGGGTTTGGCTTCATTCTTGGAAAGGGTGTGGTCAGAGGCGCAGAAACTTTGGGCTACATAACGCCTTAGTGCCCAAACGGTTGTGCCGACGTTGGTGATCTTGCGATCAGGGTGGAGGGGGAGGCCACTTTCATCTGACGTAGTCCCGCCCACATTTTCCAGTCCGAATTGCGAATCGCTCAGTGTCGCTGGCAGGGACATGCAAAGATGCACAATTAGGTTGCTCGGGCTCTGAGCAGGCCCTGGTGACAGGGCAACTCTGCTGTGAGGCCGTGCCCTAAACATATCGTATGCTCTGCTCCACTCTTCGTGGATCTAGACTGGAACAAGGGCTGCGTGTGGGATGATTAGCTGTAGCACCGGCAACACGTTTTATTTGTCTCCAATCGCACTCTCCTTCGTAGCTCACCTTCCTTCGAGTACTGTCACATGGAGACTTCCACCGACGCAGGGACAATGGACGCGACAATTGGACCGGATTCGGGTGACAATACGACACTGCAGACAGGTCATACGAAGGACGTGTCTTCTCTCCATCAAGGCCCCTTCATCCATGGAGTTCTCGGCTGCAGTCCCGCAGTCCGAATGCAGGCTTGCGATCCCATGCAGGCAAGTTCAACTACCAGGTTCAATAAGAACCTCTCACAGACGTTCATATTCTTGAAGCTCGGCCCTGGGATGTACAGCCTGAAGCACACAAAGGCAACATCACGGAGTGGTGTGTGAGATTCACTGAAGAACACACGCAGATGCCCTGCACAAGAAGTCATCGCACAAGGTGGCAGGAGGAAATCGAGGTCGGGCAGAAGCTTGCTTACAAGGATGAGGGCTGAGCAGATGGTTCGATTTCAAGTCGGGTAGTCATGAAGGATCACGTTCGTGGCCATTCCCTGCCGCCCACCCTACATCATCCAGAAAGGCTACATGTTTAGAATGACGGTTGATCACATACACCAGGCCTCGAAAATTGGCCAGTCAGCGATCAGATGAACAGCTGCTCCACTGCTTTGCCCTCCCCGCATGGGAGGGAATGTGAAACCTTCGCTCTTGTCATGTGCGGGTGTGTTGTTGAGGTTGAAAGGCCATTTGAAGATTTTTTCTGGGCTGCCTGTGGCTGGCCTTCTATTCTCCCGTTGTCTTACTTCATAGTTCCTCTCCTGGCTGGGGTGCCTGGACTCCTGTCCTCCGCTTGTCTCCTTCTTGCCTCCCCTCATACAGGTGGCCTGTTGCCGGATTCCTGGCTCTGTGCATGTTGCCCTTTGCTGGATTCCTGGACTCCTTGCCTTCGATTCGGCGGCCTGTGCCGTGCTCCTGGGTCTTGCTCCAACTTTCCTGCCGCTGTAAGGAGCCAACGGTCGCCTCGGAGCTTCTGCGGAATGACGCGCGAGGGTCTTTCGCAACTCATGGTGGCGCAGATGACAAGGCTCCCCTTCCAAGCGGTTTCTAAGACTCTCTGGCAGGCTGGTTGTGCCACTGCAGTGACCCAGATGCGCCAAATGAACTTGTCGCAAAGCTTTCGATGACTTGACACATGTCTAGGTTGGCCCCTTAAACCCTCTGAAAAACATTCTTGACATGTGATCCTCCTTAACCCAATGATGGAAAATATGCAATGTCGAAAAGGCTTACCTAGATGTGGATGCGTTTGGTGATTCATGCCAGCCAAGGGTAACAGCACATTGAACTCCACGGACAAGCGAGGCTGCAGAGCTTAAGGTTTACGACATGTGAGACATGCTTCTCAGTTGCATCGCCCTTTCCATGCAACATTCTGAAGTCGCATCTCCCAACTCTTGAATACCCACGTCGCCCAAGTCGCAGACAATCCCAAATTGGACCCTTTCACCTCCACTCGGACCCCGTGCCCCTAAAGCGCAAGGGAACTCATTGCTGGCAGGCGGGAAGATATGACTTTCAGTTTCTCTTTGCAGGCCAGCTTCCACTTCTTTCATCTCAAGCTCTTCTGCTGACCTGCTTGAGGGCGTTGGCTTTGTTGGGTTGCTATGAGTTAGCTTGAGGGTTTCGGAACTGAGGCTTTGGGGCTTTAGGTGGTTTAGGGTCTGACGAGCAGGAATGCACAGTGCTTCTCCGGTCTCATTCGGGGCTTGCTCATTCCCCTGTCTTTGCAGAGTTCAGGCCTTCTCACCCCTCACTCCTCTTCATGTTGCACCCGATTGAGTATTGTTACCCGCGATTACGCGAAGTTCCGGAAAAATTGTTCGGGATACCCTTATTGAAAATGGTTACCCGCAATTTTGCGAGGTTCGTGGCCCTTGATCCTGATTTGGGGAAAAGGCGGTTGTGTGATTAAAAAAAGAAGCTGAAGGATTGTTCTTTGGTCTCGGCTGAGGCAGAAGTCGTCAGACCCCGTTCCCGTTTAGAGAGGGTGAGCGCTCACGTAACGGACCGCGTGGCTTCGTGCGATTTGGCGTTGTTCCATGTTTCATGAAACTGCATTTCCGGTTGTTTTGTTTGCGCAATCATGTTTCGAAATTTGAAAGTCTCATGACAAAGTTGTTTGGTTTCCACACCGAAACAAACATCACGAACCAGCAAACGACAAGCGACCACAAACAACCCCAACCCCAACCCCAACCCCAAACACCTAAGCTGAAACGCTTCCTGCCCTGGAGCAGAAAACGCAGCTCGGAAGAAGACATAAATCAGGCCACCCATTCGGAAACCACAGGCAGGCATGCAAGAAGGAATTCCAAACGATTCGGAAACATCAGGAGTCATTGAGACAATTCAGAGACCTGGAGAAGCCAACCAAGCATGAACTTGCTGCCTCACCGAGGCTCAAAGGGAACAGTTGGGTGCTTAGGGTTTTGAGTTCTTGACATCTTTCAAAAAAAACCGAACCCAAAACCCTGAACCCTTCGGCCCAACCCACGTCAAACCCCAAATCCCAAACCCCAAACCCCAAACCCCAAACCTCCCTAACGGCCCTACCCCGCGCGGCCTGGACCAGCCGATGGCCACCTCCCCAGCTTTGGACACCTCGTTGCGTCTCAGACTTGTGAGGTAACTTGAGATCGACGACGTGTGTCTCAAAACCCTAAACTCCAAAACCCTCAACGCCGATGGTGGAGCTCAGCTCTTTGTCGGAAGGTGTTGCTTGTTTTTCTTAGGACCGCGAATAGGGAGTGTTTCTTCTCAAGTGAGCCAGGAGGCTAGCTAGGGCTGAGGGCTGAGGGTCGAGGCTTAAATCCCAAACCTCTACTTGAAAGGCTTCATAGCTAGCATCTTCTTCAAGTTTCTCAGCCCACATCTCGTTGATGATGTTCTTCGAGCCAACGTATCACTTCCCCATCCGCTTTGAGGGTCTCGGGCCTAAACCCTAAACCCTAAAGCCTAAATCCTAAGTTCCTTGGACTTCTCTGGGCCTTCGGGCGAGTCCGTCCTGAAAGAACGTCTCTCAGCAATGCACGGTTGTACAACCAAGTAGAAAATCCTATTAGGGTTTAAGGGTTTAAGGGTTTAGGGGTTTAGGGTTTGCGGTTTAGGGTTTAGGGTTTAGGGTTTCGGGTTTAGGGCTTAGGGTTTAGGGCTAAAAAACTCTACGCCAAACGATGACGAACCCCTCCTAAAGCAAGCACTTGTCACAGGTACGTCCATGACAACTTCTGAAGCTTTGTAACAAAAAGAGCATCTCCAGCGACTCAAGCTGCTGCCCTCTCAGTGCCGGACCGCTGCAAGCACTTCGCTGAAGTTGATCTGCCTGCCCTGGTGTCTAGGGCTCAAGATGTGAGGACTGCCTTAAGTTCCAGGGTGGAGGCTTGAGGGATGAACGGAGCCAGCATGTAATGGGTTTTAGTGCAGCCTGCGCATCCTGCGCATCCTGCTGAGTTCAGGCGTCTGGCCCTTAGGACTGGAGTATTGCGGTGTGCAGAGTCTGAGATATGCAGGGCTGAACCCTAAACCCTAAACCCTCAACCCTAAACTCAAACCCTAAACCCTAAACCCTGGGGGGGGGGGGAGGGTTAAGGGACCTCATGGTCATCCTCATCGACCACATCGCAGACATAGTCGGACAGATGCCGGATGCAGATCCTGCCAAGGGCTCAGTGGAAGGCGAGGAAGGCGGAAGGCTGAGAATAAACAACTGGACCCCAGGTTGGGTTTCGGGTTTAGGGTTTAGGGTTTAGGGTTTAGGGTTTAGGGCTTAGGGCTTAGGGCTTAGGGCTTAGGGCTTAGGGCTTAGGGTTTAGGGTTTAGGGTCTAGGGTGGGGGCTCTATGGGCTCACACCAACTTTGGATGATTCGTCCTGGCCGTGTCACCGAGGAGGAGCTCTGCAAAAAGGTTGCAAATTTCGGGACCTCACAACCGCACCGTTGGTGGGGTACTGTGAGAAATTATCTTTTCATTTTTGTTCCATACTGGGTTAAGTACTCACATAAATGAAAAATGATTTCAACAATGGCTGAAACAACCATTTGGGTGCCTTGGTAAAGCTTGTGCCCATGCGGCAGAATCCCGCAATTGCAAAGGTACCTGGATGGAAGCTTATGTCCAGCACAATGGGAAAACCATGCTCAGCGCTTAGCAGCTAAGTTAGCTTGGCCAGAAATCTGCGGCGACACCTCAGTCTAGGACTTCTGCGCGAACCACCATGTGGGTCTCAAATACATGAAACCTAAACCTAACCCCGAAGCTCGAGCCTGAAGGTAACTTAAGGGCTTCATGCCCGCTCACCTCAAGCTAGCTGCAAAGCCTGAACCTTGAAAAGGTTGTGGCAAGCTGAGGCTGCAGCTTTGGCAAACCTGGCCCAAAAACACTTCTGGAAGCTCTCGCTGTCAGGTGATGCTTGATTTGGAGAGAGGGCAGGAAAGGGCCACTGCATGCCTAGAACTTGGGGCTTTGGCGGGAGAGGTGAAAAACAAGCAGCTGCAGGAATCCGAAATCCTGGAGATTCCTAGACTCCAAGACACACCAAAGCCCCCCCGGCCTGAGCCAAGACCTGGCAAGAGAGCCGGTTGGAGTTGATGTAGTCGATCAGGCCGCTCCTTAAAAGGTCCCAGGCGTTCTGGTGTTTTGGAGGGTTTCGGGGTGCAGGGCTTTCAGGGTTTTGGGATACTTTCGGATTTCACATCTTTGACCGCCGAGCTTCAAGCTTTAGGGTGGAAGGTCCAGGGGGCCCAAATCATGTGGGGTCAAATCCGCGGCGAGACGAGGGGGGCACCCCTGTGGGAGCCACACCCCTACACCCTCTCCTTGTGTTTGCGCAGGCGTTGCCTCCCCCCCTTTTAAGGAGAAGAGTATAGTGAATAAAGGCACATGCCATGTCCCAAATCCACGGAGAACCAGGTGTATGGTAGTCTAAACTTCTGACCCTTGACCCTTGACCCTGGACCCTAAACCCTAAACCCTAAACCCTGAACCTATAGACCTCCCTCTTCTCAAGCGCGCCGTAGCATCTTCCAGCAATTGTGCTCTGCGCGTTTTCCCAGAACTTGCGGCATGATTACCTGGACGACATGGGTGGACTGCTCGGGTAGAAAGGAAGCCGTGTTGAGGTGTTACAGGGTTTAGGGTTTAGGGTTTAGGGTTTAGGGTTTGGGGTTTAGGGTTTAGGGTCAGGGCCCTCGCAGTAGCGCAGAGTCTGCTTTCAATGCAGAAGCCAGTATCTGACTCTCTGGGTTTTTGCTGTTCTGCCAAGAGTGAGCGTAGCGTTTAGTCACAGTTTAGTGTGAGACATGGTTCAGAACAGGCTTGAACGACTCTCTTGAACGGCTTGAACCTCCTAGACAACAATAAAATCAGGAATAAAAAACTGGGATGTTCCCCCTTATACTAACAGTCCTTAATGGGGATTATCATCGGGACTATCATCGGGGGGGTACGATAATCCCTCTTAAGGAGACTGTGAGTATAATCGGAAACCCTAAGCCGAACCCTAAACCCTAAACCCTAAACCCTAAACCCTAAACCCTAAACCCTAAACGCTAAACCCTAAACCCTAAACCCTAAACCCTAAACCCTAAACCTCGACTGAGTTGCCAGGTCGGGGTGGTGCTTCCCTCGCTCGCGGAAGATGTCTCGCACTTGCAGCAATGTGGCCACCGTGTCGCAGTCCTTTCAGCGAGAGATTCGTTTCAGGGCTTGGGGTTTGGGGTTTGGGGTTTGGGGTTTGGGGTTTGGGGTTTGGGGTTTGGGGTTTAGGGTTTAGGGTTTAGGGTTTAGGGTGGAGGGTTCTTTAGCTTTAGGTGCTCAGTTTGGGGTGCGTGGGAGGGGTGGGGGGGCATTCCGCTGGCTTATGGCCAGAGCATCGCAAAACTAAACAGCTGCAAACACACACGGTAACATAGAAGGCTCATAACTGAGCACGCGAAGAGGTGCAATCCTGAAGCCACACCAGGCTCGGACTTCGAGTCCAGGTATTTGTTATAAACACCCAAGCATGCAGTGCTTATCAAAATGACATATCTGACATTAAGTAAACATCCAACTAGAGCCCGTCTGAAGAGCCGCAATAGCCTAAACCCTAAACCCTAAACCCTAAACCCTAAACCCTAAACCCTAAACCCTAAACCCTAAACCCTAAACCCTAAACCCTAAACCCTAAACCCTAAACCCTAAACCCTAAACCCTAAACCCTAAACCCTAAACCGCGAGCCCAAGGAGCTGCAGCTTCGTCAGATCGGGCCGAGCTGTCGGCGAGAATGAAGATCTTCCTTGGTCGGTCTCAGGGCTTGGGAAGGGTTGTTTAGGGTTTAGGGTTTAGGGTTTGGGGTTTGGGGTTTAGGGTTTGGGATGTGCCCCCTTATACTAACAGCTCCTGAATAGGGATTATAGTACCCCGCCCCCCCCCCCCCCCCCCCCAATTATGATCCCGATTGAGGACTGCGGAAAGAACGGGTAAAAAGTGGCATGGATTTGCGGCTTCGGCTGTGTGGGCATAGGATGTTTAGGGGTTAAGCTGTGATCGTTTTGGTTCTTTAGGCCTTGCCCACTCTGACATTTTGCGTCGGGGGGTTGAGGGGAGGTTCGGGGTCTGACGGTAGAGCCTTACAGGCTCTAAGCTGTTTGAGGGTGTTAGGGCTTAGGGTGCTCATTGCGAATTTGGTTCTATGATGGTGCCTTTCAGGCCCCTGTTTGTCATGCGGACCCTTTCATTCAGGGTACTATGGCCAAAGAGGACCCATGGCTTCAAGTGTCAAAGGCTCACCATGTGGGCGGACCTCAGAAAACATGTCGATGCCATGAAGCCGCTAATGCGGCTTCGAGCCCCAGAAGCCCCAAAAAAGGTGCCTGAATAATCAGAACAGGGTTTTGGGGGGTTATTAGAATAGAATTTCAAAGAGGCCACAAGGGGGAACATGAATAGCAATCATTCCGACCCCATTTTTCTTATGAACCCAGGCAACAGACCAAGCGTCTCAGCTTCTTCCAGGGCCAGCTGCTCCAGCTTGTAGCGCGCCCCCAGCAATCCCTGCTTGTGCTTCACCTGGGTTTAGGGTTTAGGGTTTAGGGTTTAGGGTTTAGGGTTTAGGGCGTGTGCGACCTTGAGACCTCACCGATCCCTTACACCGTCCGGGACCCGCTTCACAGCCGCTCAACCATGTGTAGTAAGAATTGTGGAGGCCAAGGTTTGCAGTTTAGGGTTTCAGAGATTTAGGGTTTAGGGTTTAGGGTTTCAGGAATTTAGGGTTGTTTTCGGCTGGTGCGGCCAGGCAGCAGTGATGTTCTGGAACCGGCAGTTTCGTCGAACCTGATGCCATCAAGTGGATCTTCAGCTTCAAACTGCTAAGGTTGGCCCTTTGTCTTACAGTTCCAGGAAGAGAAAATGATGGCACAATGAAGTAGAGCTGGTACTTCGAAAAACGTGAAGCACTACGAACGACAGCACTTGGAAGTGCTTCACAGCTTTCAGTGCATCGCATTTCGAGGTATTCGGCGCCGCCGCAATGGGCAGATTGCTGAAGAGTTCAGGACTTAAGGGGCGGATAGTTGCGAAGATAGCGATCGGAGTAGGGAGTTTCGAGCGGCTCGGCCCATGCGACCACCGTGCCAGGTCATTGACAGGTTGTGCCGAGTCATGTGCGCAGTGTAGCTTCGGGAGTAACCTACTTAGCTACCGGGGGCAGGATCCGAACGCATCAAGCTGCAGAGTTGCAGGGCCTTGGGTATCCCGAGTCTGTCTGTGGGCAGTTTCTCCTCAACAAGATGCCCTTGCGGGCCTGCGAAGCCTCCAGGTACTCCTCACGATGCCCGATATCTTGGGGGGAGTACACGATCACCTCGCTGCTGAGGAGTTCACAGAAAGACTGAAGGTGGGTCCGGCAGGGTTTTGGCAAGAACTATAGGGGCCTGAATAATTAGAATCGGGTTTTGGGGGTTATGATTATAGTATAATTACAAAGGGGCCATAAAGGAACATTGTTAGTGATTATTCCGACCCCTATATTGGGCTGAACAATGTTAGTTAGAATCGCAGCAACAGACCACCTGTTGAATAATCTTTCGATAACGGAGTCCCCTCTGTGCTGGCTTTCTGGGTATTGATATGGTAGGAAGATCCTTGAAACTGTTGCTTGGAACTTAGGTTAGAGGCAGCACAGTAATCAGCAGCAAACACGCGCAGCTGGGTGAAGCCGTAGTTCGTCAAACCCTAATCGTTCATGGGTTGAGGAGAGGCTCCTAAACGTGTGGTTCAGTTCTTTCCACTGTGCCGTAGGTGGAGGCGCTTTCATTTCTTTCTCTCCTAATGTTGGTGCCCTTCTGTTTGTATTCTGGCCGTTGAAGCCATAAACAGTCGGGTCGAAACCGCATGCACACGCCTGAACAGCTACATAGCCGAAATACATAATTCCAAAGGACGACATCAGACACGTGGCCAACCCTGTGCAAATAACAGCCCAAGCTTCGTCGGACTTGGGTCCAACTGCCAGGTCTACTTCGTGCCTGATCTCAGGGCTGATAAGGCAACTTTTAGGCTGTGCAGGGGCAAAATACACCGGAATCTGAATTAACGTTTTGGGGTGGAAGGGTTTGAGATGGTTTGAGCTTATGGCTAAATCAGTTGTAGGGCTGCAAACGCATGTGCTATGGACATAAACGGAAGTCTTGGGCAAAACTCGGGATGAAAAAACCTTGTTCACGTCGCGAAGCTCCTTCTTCCCAGGAGATCGCAGTAGATGCTTGTACGAACCGTCGCTCTTCATGATGTTTATGCTTTCGGGGGTAAAGTGTTTGAGTCTTTTTCGGGGGCAAGGTCGTGGGGGAATGTGCTGTTTCTCAAGCCTCATGAAACGGCCGTGCCGCTCCGATAAGTCCTGCACACCACTAGCGCTTCAAGTTTCTTTGGCCATGGACCATGGAATCGAACAACATAGCTCAAAACTACTTAAGCTCTAGCCTGTCAGATCAGATGAATGTGATACTTCTTTTGGAAGTGCTCGGCATGGGCCATGAGATGAGGCATCTTCATGGGAAAGTGCCGAGTGAATGCAGATGTTTGGAGTTTGGAATTCTTGTGCTTAAGGCTTGGGGCTTGGAATTTCATTGCTTAGGGCTTAGGGCTCGGGCGCATTAGCACACAAAGTGCAACAGAGACTGCAAACTTCAACAACATGTATGACTGGCACAATGCCAGCGAAACAACCAAACCCTCAACCCTCAACCCTCAACCCTCAACCCTCAAGCCTCAAGCCTCAAGCCTCAAGCCTCAAGCCTCAAGCCTCAAGCCTCAAGCCTCAACCCTAAACCCTAAACCCTAAACCCTAAACCCAAAACTCGGCGAAGGGGCAGCATGGAGCCAATCGCTTCGTTCCAGCCGAAAACAATCACCAGTGCTTCATGCTGCCTCGTCACCTGTGCACAGAGCACAGAGGAGCACGCAGGGTTTAGGGTTTAGGGTTTAGGGTTTAGGGTTTAGGGTTTAGGGTTTAGGGTTTAGGGTTTAGGGTTTAGGGTTTAGGGTTGTACCAAAACAAGCCCAAGCTCAACCTGCGACCAACAAAACCTGTTCAACGAACGGCCATACAGCATGAGGACATGACCCGGGCAATAGCAACCTTCTGACTGTAGAATTATAAATTATAGACTAAATATGTAAACATGACAAATTTCAGTACTGGCCGGTAAGGGTTCTACTTAGCTACTTAGCCAGAGAATTGAACACGAATGACTACGCTGCAGCTGTCCGCATCGTCCGTCTAGGGATCAGTGGAAGTCGACAGACGAAGCTATTTCAGGGCAGCTAGATGGTTTATTTTAGTATGGGCCCTTTAAAGGGTGTAACCCCTCAGAAGCTAAGAGGTCCCAAACAAGCTCTGGAGGAAGCTTCATGGAACAATTGCAAGGTCTTATGCCCCACACCCGGCCGAGCAAGAACTTCTGGTAGACAGGCCAAAGAGGCTATGAACCCTACAGCATTACCCCAATCATGTGCCCAAGGCCCTAAAACCAGTCCTGAGCAATCGTCCCTTTCCCGGTTCAGGCGCCTGGACCATCGAACCTGCCAGAAGCAAATCGTGGCTGTTTCGGTTCTCTTGCAGGGCAGCATTGTCGGAGTTGCTGTAAAAGGCGAAGGGGACAGCTGTCGGATGGTGACAAAAACTTGTGTAGCCCCCAATATGGGGGTTTACGATATTAGGGGTACCATATTAGGGTCCTAACTATAGGGGGATCCTACTATTTAGGGTCCCCTATTTCCTACATATGCCGTATTCGAACACCACCTCATGGAGGAAGTCCCCAGCTGGTAGGCCTAGAACAGGGGGAGGGAGCATCAATGAGCATCAAATCACCCATACTCAGGCTAATTACACTGTGTTCGAAGACAGACTTGATGCCCCAAACAAGTACCAAAGGCGAGTCGGCAAATCAAAGGCTCGTGTCCGAAACCCTTCATGTGAGAGTCCGTCTCTTTAAGGGCGAAAGCTTTCGAAGCAAGTGGCGGCGATGATGCCCACGTCTTTGAACCACCAAAGCTGTACAGCACCCCGATGCAAACCAGATGCCATTCGTGCTCTCCACCCGGCGCAATCACGCTCAGGTGGATTCGTGCTCTGGACCGCGGATTCGCACTCGCGTGCTGACACAGTGCATTGGAGCGCTGATGCGGCGCATTCGCACACCCACCGATTCGCGCACAGGCATGGCAAATTCGCGCACAGAGGATTCCGCCAAGAACATTCAACCTAAAGCCCCTAAGCCATAAACACCCTCAGCGATGGTACGTGCTTGCACCGCCAGTGCTTGAATCGGGGCTCGTGCTTGAATCGCGCGTGCTAGAATTGCAGCCAGCCCTTCAAGCGGACTTTTTTTACGCAGTGACAGATCTTATTTGAGAGTTCAAGTTCAGACGCGTGCGTCACAGAAAAAGCATGAAAACCACGCTCCTGGCCTCTGTGTTTCATGCTCTTCGAGGCCTTCGAGCGCTTCCGCGCAACTTCGTAGTGGGTGCCTCCAAAGAAGGGGAGTTGCTTGGCTTGATGTCCAACTGGAATGCCTGCCTAGTTTTAAACTTTCCATGCAAAGACCTACAAGCATCTACAGAATCCTCGACTTCATGTGATTGTATTCTTTGCTATTGTGCAAGAGAACGCTGAGTTTGCACTTTGTTGCTTGCATCCGTACGGCTTCAAGTATCTTTCCGGAAGATCCGGGTAAGCTTATGTCTGCATTGACAAGAAGCCCTGAGTTCACCTGTTCTTGTTTATGGCATTTCTTATGTGCTTGCACATGTCTTGTTAGAGTAGCTGTTACGCGGCTCCCACAAAGCCGCCACTTGGTTTTTGTGTCTGATTTGGCTCTGCGATACAAGCTGGCATTCCGGCCGTAGCACGGGATGACGATGGTCAGGGGCTCGGCTACTTGGATGATCTAACAGCTCAGCCTGCTTGGTACATTCGTAGGCCGAGGACACAGGTTTCAACTAGGGACCCTACAATATAAACATCTTCCTTTCTTTCAGCAGCAAAAAAACTGAAAACACTTGTGCTTCGAATACCTACAAAACTCGTGTCCTGGTCCTTATCATGGGGCCGCACTGGCCCAAGCCTTTGTCAAAACTCCAACCCGAGTACTCAAAACGCCTCAACCCCTGGCCATTGGTAAACCCTAAACCCTAAACCCTACACCCTAAACCCTCAACCAGGAAAAGCCTGCCGCGACTGACCGCGGAAGGGTGGATGAGTCCTGGAACGAAGGCTCAGGAGCTTCAAGGCATAAACCCCTTGAAAGTCCGGGCCCCCGATCCTCCGCCAAGCAGATCAAGCTCTCCATACCTCCGAAAACCTCAGTTTCAGAGAGAATTACGGCTTTGAGCCGACTTGGGGTATGAGGTCCGGGTTTTGCAGAAAGGGGCGAAGGGATGAATCTGGGGCACGCGGGCTTGAGCATGGGCCCTGTTCAGCTTGGTGAAAAATGATGTGTGTGGCTTAGTTGCTCAAATGCCCCGCTGGCAGCCTGGTATCTGGCATGTGGTGCGTTTGCCAATTATGACGTTATGCGTCTTCAGCTCAGCCTCCTCGCTGCTTTGGAAGATGAAGGCTACTATGGCAAATCCAGATGTAACGAAGCATAAAACGAACAAAGCTACAACTCAAGTTTCGTAAGAACTGACCCGAACACCTCAACTGAAGGGCTCGGTCGGGGTGTTGTTGCACAGCCCAGCAACATAGTCCATGGGTGGCAGCAGCATCACCTGTGGAGGGGGGCTAGGGGCATGCACAACAGGACGGCAACTTCAATGATCTACTGCGATAGGCGGGGTTTAAGAAAGATAGGGGGCCCCTAAACGCGACCTCCCCTTATAGTGTGGACACCAATAAGGCACCCGAGTATCCCTAAACCCTAAACCCGAAACCCTAAACCCTAAACCCCCATATACAACTCTTAAGAGAATTCGGGGGCTGCCGGGCCCGGCCTCATTTTCCGGAAAGGCCACGTACCCGATTGGGATCGCCGTTCCCAGTGCGAAGAGCAGGTCGCGAAAGGACCAGCCTGTGCTCGGTTTAGGGTTTAGGGTTTGGGGTTTGGGGCTTTGGATTTCTTTTGGGCTCAAGGATCTCAGGGATCTTTCGGCTCCTATGCTAAGGTTGTGATGTGTTCGACAACCGGTAAACATTTATTACGTGTCGATAGAACACTGAATAAGCTGTTAACCATCTTTACATCCCCTATTGTAAAGGCCTCATTCGGCCAAATTCTTGAAGCTCTGCAGTCCGAAGTCAAGCCCTATCACAGCCACCGCCTTGCAAGCCCTCCACCTCTACGATGTAGAACCTGGCCAGAGGGTGTGACTTCGGGGACTGGTTTATCGTTGAACGCGTGTAGAGTTCGTGTCAGGAGTCAGCTCTCACAAGTCCTCAATGTGATATCCAGTCCCCCAAGACCATTTCAGGGCTGCAGTGCATAGCAAACCCCAAAAATACCAGGCTTTTGCTCCTTGAGCGGTTGCTTTCTGTAAGAGCACAAGCAGGGTCCATCCATCGGCAGCTCCAACCCTAGGTCTTGATAGGCCCTACTAGGCCGTATAGTCCCTTTAAACCTTGATAAGATTACCCAAAAACCGGTTCGGTCGTAAAAGGCTTATATCTAGGATGGCCCTTAAAACCTGATTATGGTCCCTTTGAAGCAAAATAAGGGAACATATAAAATTCCCCAAGGGCCCGCCCAGATATGCTTTCTTCGGAAAAACGTGGTGTGCAGACGAGGCACTCCATGCCGTCGAAGCCGATCGTCTGGCTAATCACTTGGGAGATACCACCTTAGGTTTTGAGGGGGTTGGGATGCGGGGTTGGCTGTATCCACGTTCACAGTCTACGTGCCTTCCTTGACAAGTCGTTTTAGAATTCGTGGGAGCGTTCGAGCTTTGATCCCTTCATACACCCCGAACACTGTGGGGATGGCTGCCGTCCGGTACCCGCTAGGCGTTGCACACTAGGTAACGGGTAGCGGTGTCAGGGCAACTTTGTTTTTAGGACTGCTGGTAAAGTGAATCCGCAGGCAAGGACAAAGGTGGCAAGCGACCAGGCGAAGGCCAAGGCTCGTGACAGGGTCACATGAGGAATGTGATGAACCACGTTCGCCAAGCAAGTCTGTAGGGACTTCTCACATACAAGACCTCCCACGTCTGGTCATGCAGTGCAGGGTACAGATTGAAACAATCCTCCCCCTCAGAAATCCTCAGACCGCGCCTGAAGCCGGCAAAGCAGAAGCAGAAGCAAAGCACTGTCTGGAGGGCACACAGGACGGGCACTCTTGTACCGACAGCAGCCGGTCGGAAGCCGCTCCACAAGCAATGCCGTACAGTAAGCAAAAACACCGAAACGAACCGCCGAAGAACAACGCATCGATCTTCAGGTTCGTATATTGGGATGTTCCCCCTTATACTAACAGTCCTTAATAGGGATTCTAATTGAGGGGCACTATAATCTCTACTAAGGAGCTGTTCGTACAAGGGGGAACATCCCAATTCGTATACTCCATCCAAGACCACAATGCCGCAAGGGCCGCGGACTCGAAGAGCAGCACAACAAAGCAAGAGTCATTGCGGCAGGAACTCTGACAGCAGCAACAGCTCCGCGTCTTCTCCGACACAACGATTTCTGCAGGAAGTCTACACCAGAAACTCCCCCAGAGCAACCAAAAACAACGATCAAGCAAACTCGCAACGCAGCACATGCCCAGGACATTGGACAGAGTTGGGAAGGCCGGGTAAGCCGGCACCACATGCAACGTGTTGAGAGCCCTCGGAATTTTGCGATGTGTATACTGTCCCGACCTTTTTGAGCATGTTGTTTGCGTGTATACCCGGCATTGGAGGACAGAAACATGCAGAAAAATGGAGCGCAGGACAGGGCATTTGCGCGGATTTTTGTGCACAATTCTGCAACCCGACACCGCTGTGATCCTTTGTGCTGGGCCCGTCCCAACTCTCACAGTCCCAACTCTCACAGCTTGCCTTTCCAAGACCATGTGTGACCCCCCCCCCCACCCCCTCTCTGAGCCGATCATCCAGAGTCCATGATACACAGTCCTGAGACCTCCTTCGTAGCGCCTAAACCCTAAACCCTAAACCCTCCTTCATGGAGCTCTGAAGTGCTTCCGGGCCGCGTTGCCGGCTGGCTTCGACGAGGAGCTGGCCAACGAAGTCCTTCTTGTTCAGTCTTCGACATGCGGTTTAGGGTTTAAGGATTAGAGTTTAGGGATCCCTTTTAGAAGGCGCTGCTTTGACACTGGAGCTAGCATGGGCTATCATGCCCTGTAACCCCTTTCAAGGGCCCTTTATGGGGTTGATTCTGGGGATTGTCGGCCCGAATAGCTTCAGCCACAAGCACCAATTCCAAGACCTTTAACACCTTGGAACCTTGGCAGTGAAATACGTTTTCTTGGGCAGCTAGGTGTGTGAACGAGGAGCAAGGCCGTGGAACAAGAGTGAGAGAGATGAATGGTACGTCCTAAAGGTGAATCATAACCCTTCATACGCTAACAGGGTCTCAAGGTGTGCTGTCATGGTGTTCTCGGGCGGTTAGCTTGGATCCAGAAATCCAGTACAAAAGGCTGTTATCAGGAGTGCTTTTCCGGGAGTGAGTTCATGGGCGAGACAACAGGCTTGGAAACAGAGGCTGGGTCTCACGGAATGGTGGTAAGGTGAACAGACATCTGCAGGTTTACTTTTTAAGTGAAGAGAATTAAAAAGCCCAATCTATACTGTAATGAGTCAAGCGAATGCAAGCATGAAATTGGGGCTGTTAATGAACGAAACGAGAACAGTATTGATATTGTGTAGAGAGAAGTGAATACAAATAATTTTATGAGAGCGCGCAATAATACTAATTGTAAGAACGTACCCACGAATGAAAAAGCCGTTGTCGAGGCTTAAGTATCAGCAACAAGCGGCCACACATCATAAACGGCAAGTCGCCCGTCAGCCCCAAAATCGAAAGTCTCAACCTGAATGATCCGAATGTCCCTAAATTCTCTATTTGTGGGGTCAGTCCTGTGTGGCAAGCACCTGCATTTTGCCTGCGTGGGGGCGGCAAAACCCCAAATGCTCAGGTTTGGGCTTGAGGGTGTTCGCGGTAGTTTGCCGACAATAGAGCGCATGTGCATGTCCGAATAACCCAGTACCATTCACCATGGGACTATGAAGTTCATGCTGGCCATATTCACCACGAAACTTGCTTGCTGTGCCCCAGAAAAAGGAAAATAGCCTGAAATGCACGCAAGTTGCTGGCGTTTGGCGCCCTCCCTTCAACATAAAAGGTTCGAACACATGCTTGCCCTGGACCTATATTGCCCAGAACGACTCCACCCAGCCCACATGCCTGCTGCAAGGCTCCGGAACAAGTTCTGGTTCCGGACCTGTAGTTGGAGCCATTGAAGAGCATGTCTCCAGGACATGGACATGGTAATGCTAACGCGTGCTTCTAGGAGGCACGCTAGAACTCAAGAGTTGAATTCTGGTCGGCATGATGTAGTGTAGCTGGGGCCGAGAGACCGGAAAGGCTCTTGACACCAAGACCAACACAAATTAGCAATAACAGAATAAAAGAAAATGCCATTTCGATCACGAAGTACCAAGAGCAGCATCGCAGTGATGCTCTTCCAGCCTCTTTCTCACCCTTCCCTCCCCCCCAGCTGGGCTCTGCGAAGGCCCGTCACGGGACAATGACTGGTTAAAGGAATGGACCCTTGACGATTGGCCTGAGATGCTGAACGTGACGATGTCAGAAGAGACAGCATTTGCAGCCGGGGAAAGGCTTTGATGCAAAAATGCTGTTTATCTACTGCGCCATCGAGCAAATGTCGCTCCTCCGTAATGCTGGTGGTATGCTCTCAGCGAGTTGCGCTGTCTTACCTGCCACACACGTGCACACGCAGACAAACTGAGCTATCCGCAAGGCAACACTCCACAATGGTGCATCTGTCCTGTCCGCATGCTGATGATGACCGCGTAATTAGAGTTCACAATCTTTTGGCGCTTCGAGAACAAAGTCGAGGATTTGGGATTCAGGCGAACTTGTCCAATGCATGGTGCAAAACTATCAGACACCCAATCGCCTCCCCCCCGAACTAGGCCTTTCAAACCATCAAAAACACCTAAAAGCTGTCTTGAATCCCAAAGCCCTCCGGCACCGCGACCTTTCAAACCAGAAACTTAAACCTGGGTTTAGGGTTTAGGGACCCTAAACCCTAAACCCTAAACCCTAAACCCTAAACCCTAAACCCTAAACCCTGTATCGTCCACACCTTGGAGGGCGAGTACTTCAGGCCCTGCAGCGCGAGCAGCACGTTCAACGTCCGGCAGTCTGCCTCCTTCAAGCAAGGCGGGCTTAAGAGAGTCGGACATTGGGATGTTCCCTCTTATACTAACAGTCCTTAATCAGGACTATAATAGGGAATCTATAACCCTTATATTAATTGAGTCGTGTTCAAGGCTTTGAAGCTTGCGGCTCTTCAGGCGGTTCGGGCTTCATCCGGACTTGCGCTGCACGGTGTTCGCAGGCAATAAGGCTCGCGGGCCATAATGCCAATTGCGCAACTTGGACAGCCCGATTCGACTGAAACAGAAAACTCAAGGAAGATCACGATGTGAGATTCGGGCCGACATCACGACGTATCCGACACCAATTCAGAGTCTACGAGGCCTACCTGTCAGGGAGGGTGGAAGGACGGAAACGTACCGCATCATGACAGCAGGCCTGTCACTCCGGGAGTTCTTTTTGACCAACCCAGCTTTGCTGGCGAAACTGCTAGTTGTCCTGACTTGTTGTTATGTGGCACGACCGCGCTTCGGAAACTCTCCTCGGCACAAGATAGCAAATGCCTGGCATTTTCAAAATCTGCACCATTGTAGGTTCCAGAAGCACAAAGGCTGCGCTTTTACCTCTGCTGGTATGTTGTCCTTTTCACCCAAACAGGGATACGAACACCAGTACTCCCCACAAAAGGAAACACGTCAGTTCAAGCCAGGACGAATCTTGAAAAGGACACTGCCCACTGCAGGAAGGCAACGCAGTCGGAGCAACCAACTCCAACGTGTCTTCGTGAATTTAGGGTTTAGGGTTTTGGTTTTAGGGTTTAGGGTTAGGATTGAGGATTTCACCACATATTCATCTTCTTCGAAAGACGGCTTCCAAAAAACATCACTATCACACTGAAAACTTGGCACGCTTACTGAAAACAGGCTTGGGAACCGACTTTTCGGCTATGGGCTGCACACGCAGCGACAAGCGCATGATCACATCAGCAAGTTGTTGCAGCCGGACAAAACTTTGAGATTTTTTAGCCAACTGGGATGAACCAGAGAGAACCTCACTAAACTGATGAACTGCTGCTTGGGCTGCCATATCAGCGACTCTATTGAACCAAGCAAAGCACCGCTCCGCTCCTTCAAGCTGTATAAGTTTGGGCCTCGACGAACTCAAGACACACTCGAGAAGAGCCACAAGCGACCAAATTCAAGACAAGAGTCCAAACTAGACCGTGGCAATTGGGGACTGAAACCACGCTTTAATTGCCGGAGCATCCCTTGCGCAGTTTGCATTTCATGGCTGGAGTCAGAACAACTGCCGGCAAGCAGCACATGCGACCGCGACAGCCAAAATCTCAGCACAGTCAATAGGTTGACTAGACCCAGGTGTAACCTAGGAAATAAAAAGGGTGCCCTTTTTGGTTTAACGGGGCTTACAAGAGAACGGGAACCTCAAACAAAAGGGAATAAGGGTTGATCTGCCGATGGCATGATGTCCCCTCCAAATCACCGTGTGCTCCCACGACTTCTTTGCTGGAAGAACCGACGAAGCTGCTTCGACCGTAAGGTGGGAAATGTTTCGGGTTTAGGGTTTAGGGCAAGTTTAGGGTTTAGGTGGGAAATGTCGGAGGCTGCCGGACATACAGTTGGGGTGTTCAGGGCTTTGGGGGATTAGGACTTAGGGCCTTGGGGCCGTTGGTTTATGCGGTCCGAACCCCCTCAGCCAGAAGTTCACAAGCTCGAGTTTTGTATGAAAAAACCTTTAAGCCCGTTTCCACAAGTGGACCCCATCGCCGTGATTCTGAATGCAACAGCCCAGCTCCTCTCGACACAGCTTCTTGTTCGCCAACACCACGATCCGACGCGCCGTCTGCACCTTAAATTGACAGCACCGGTGGTTGTTTAATGTGCGCTGTCGGCGACTGCTCGTTCTGTCACTGAAACAACAGCCGACTGCTACCCAGTGCCAACCCCAAACGCTGAGCCTTGGCTGCCATGGACCTGAAATCCCTCGGATTTGTGGCCCTTAGAATACACCTGAGAAAAAGCCTCAAAATATAAAGACATACGCCAAATCGACAGCTGTATCCAATTACAAGCTGCAGACCCCACATACAAGCTGCAGACCCCACAAAAGCCCGCTAAGAAGACAGTGGAATCCCAGCTGAGGGCCCGTGCTGCAACTCGGGTCAGATCCTGGCGTGCCCATGATTGTTTTGAAGGTCTTTCAGCGTTTCTGAAGCTTTGCAGCAGCCGCAGCTCTTGAGCCTGAACCACTTGAGAGACTTCGAGATGAACCTCTCCAAGTACCCACCTAAATTCCAACTCCACCGTAAGTCCGAGGCATGAAACCATGAACCCAGATGTTGGGACAGAGCCCAAGAATAAGCCCTTGCTTGAAAACCCTAAACTCTAAGTCCTAAACCCTAAAACCTAAACCCTTAGCTCAAAAAGGAACCCAAATTCCCTGACCTCCTCACTGCTGGACTGCCCGGAGCGGACCACAACCTCCGAGTTGCGCCTCAAGACGTTTGGAGTCAGAGAGCTTGTTCAAGGATGGTTTTGTCTGTCTTTAAACAGTCCCCGAATGTTATATGATTTTAAAAGGGATGAAGTTATAGGACTTGAAAAGGGACAGCGAGGCCTGGTACGACACACGGAAGATGTGACTTCATTGCGGACCCCAACACAGACGCCGAAATAATCACACGATCCTCAACATGATTAGTCCACATCGACAACTCTAAAGCCCGCATGCAAGCTGATGTTCATGCGTGGTGCCTGTACTAGTTACTAATACTAGGGTTTGATACCAAATCTTCCGATGGTACTTATCTTGGGTTCAAGGTATTCAAGGTACTCCCAACCCATACCCCGGAAAGCACTTGTGACGGCTTGCGATTTTCGAATGACGCTGGGTTCGCCCTGCTACCCGGGCATCTCGCTCGGCCGCCTCCGCACCCCTGTTGCAAATGTCGGGTAGTTGGGTTGAGTTCAGGTACTCCTGGTGGAATCTAGAGCCCCGCAAGTTGCTAAGGCATTCGGGCAAACACTCGTTTGCCAGCCGTACTATCCTGTAAACAGCAGAAATCCAGCTGTCACCACTTTGATTCCTTGAAGAGACGATGTACTTTACCAAGCTATGCAAGTTCTTGACAATGTCTTCTCCCGGAAACCCGAAGGAAGACGACGAGGAATCTAAAGCTGAGAGCTCTTGAAACGAGGTGAACCTCGTAAAGTTGGGCCAGAGGGCGCAACGCTCGTTGTGGATTGACAATTACGAGTTGAACAATCGGATTGCGGCCGACTTGCTAGACCCCAGGCCGGGAAAGTCTTCAACTTGACATTCCGAAAGTCGTGGCCTTGTGGCTGCATCTGCTTAACCTTCGTCTTTAAACCTCGGCAGACCCTCACCCCACCCCCCCCCCCCCCCCCCCCCCCCCCCCCCCCCCCCCCACCCCCCCCACCCACCCACCCCCCCCCCCACCCCCCCCCCCCCCCCCACCCCCCCCCCCCCCCCCCCCCCCCCCCCCACCCACCCCCCCCCCACCCCCCCCCCACCCCACCCCCCACCCCCCCCCCACCCCCCCCCCCTGCCCCCCCCCCCCCCCCCCACCCCCCCCCCCCCCCCCCCCCCCCCCCACCCCCGCCCCACCCCCCACCCCCCCCCCACCCCCCCCCCCCCCCCCCCCCCCCCCCCCCCTCCCCCCCACCCACTCCCAACCCCTCCCACCCCCCCCCCCCCCCCCCCCCCCCAGCCCCCCCCCCCCCCCCCCCCCACCCCCCCCCACCCCCCCCCCCCCCCCCCCCCCCCCCCCCCCCCCCCCACCCCCTGCAATTTCAAACCACGGCCCCCCAACAAGGTGCTCTTCGTTTCTGGAGCACCAACCTTTGGGAGACGAAAAAGCTCGGAAACAGATGTCTTGCTTCATAAGCCTTATAATCGCCGAGGTCAGGGCAAGTTGATGCCGGCTTCCTGGATGCTGCGCTCGACCTCCGCCTTGCCCTGCTCCGTTTAGGGTTTAGGGTCTAGGGTTTAGGGTTCAAGGTTTAGGGTTTAGGGTTAGGGACGGCAGGGCTTGAGAGGCGACGAGAGACGGCTTCGGGTGGCTTCGAGTGGAACAGTAGAACTGAACGGAAAGCTCAGCTTGGCACATCTTGCGTTCTGCCCGGCAAATCCTAAAGGTCAAAGCTTTTCAGGGTTCGGGGTGCCACCTGGAAGCAGCCAAGAAGCACTTTACACGATTCCTAAACCTCGGCAAAACCTTCTGAGTCCGAAGTCGACTTTGAATCGAAAACGTCAAGGGGTTTAAGCTGCTAGCGATCAAGCCGTCAACGTACAACTAGGGGTCAGCTTGAGAAGTGCCCCTTTTTGAGGTTTCAAAGGCTGAACATGCCAACGCTCGCGTTTAGCTCTTTTTGAGCTGCAGCGAGGGAAGCTTCGTTTCAACGTTTGATGTCGCCTCCAAGTTAGTCGAGACAACTTTGGGCGTGAGCGCGCCGCACGGCATAGGGGTTATAGGGCCGGTATGACGAGCACGGGCACGTATTCAAACAATGCCGTTCGCTGATGCAAAGAAGAAAACAGTTTGGGCTTGCGTACATTTATAGTATCTAGTAACTAGTATCGAACCTTGTTCTCGAGTGACAACAGCATTCGGGTGTGGAGTATACATCTTGGTGTGGATGTCGTAAAAGCCCCGGTTGAGGACTTCATGGCATCTGAATCTGAAGGACTGTACACCCCACATTCTTCCCCCCCCCTCCCCCCCACCACCCCTCCCCCCGCCCATAGATGCCCCATTCTAGCCCTAAGACTTCTGTGGCCCTTCGCACCTGGCAGGAAAGGATGGCTATGAGCCCGCCCCCGCTGGTCTCCATGGCGTTGCACAGCTCCTTGCGCAGATCCCAGCGTAGGATATGGGTAGGATGGTTGACGCGAATGATTGCTGAGGGTTCGGTGTGGAGTCTGGAGCATCTTAGGAATGGTGGAGTGTTCAGGGTCTTAACGACTCAGTCGTCGGTTATGAGCCATTCTAGGTGTTTGGCCTTTTTTCCTCCAAACCTTACAATCTATGACCCCAAAGCTTCAGGGCCAACATCTATTGTACCTCTTCCAAAAGGCGTGAAGAAGTAAGGCCCCAACAGACTGACACTGCACAGGAAGGAGTGCTCTAGGTTTCGTTCTATCAGCACGTAAGATGGGCGGGACGGGACGGTTTAAGATCTGCGCATGAATCGAATGGATGTATGTCCGCTTCGAGAAGGACCCGGAAACCAGATGCTTGTACAGTCTCGCTTGCCCTAATCGCGCTGAACCCAGAAACCTGTTTGTCCAGAACTCATTTGCTGCAGGTGCAACTCCATGATCGCAAGCCCAAGCTATGTTGCTGTTCCTCGATCATGATGGCGGCCGAGGAGTCGTACCCCAGTATCACGATGTGGTCACCTGCTGGGAGAGCCACTGCCAGAACATCTGTGTGTCAAAGCCCCCTCTCAAGCCAGATTTAAAATACCTTGACAGCCCTGGCGGGGGAGAGTGGCTCATCTAAACTTGCAGTTTCAAGCAGCTTTGGGGCACCAGGGCGCACCCCTCACATCTCACCCGCCATAAAACGACAACATGAGAGCCCTGGGCTGGAAACCCCTCAACCCTAAACCCTAAACCCTAAACCCTGAAACCTTTGAGGCCGAAGAGGCACGGAACCTTCACAGAACCCGCGCCTTCCACCACCGGGATGGAGCCATGCCGCAAGTGCCAAAGGAACTCTTCAAAAGAGGAGGTGATCAACGACAGCAGCAAGGCGAAGATGAGCATGCCGCCTTGCTTTTGGGGCACCAGGAGTCAGAGGAAGCGGTTTAGGGTTTGGGGTTTGGGGTTTAGGGTTTAGGGTTTAGGGTTTGGGGTAATGGGGTCTTCAGGATGGTTCGGGATACCTGGGCTCTTGGGATGATCTGGAAGGAAGGGGTCTTGCTCTGAGACGTGGTTGGGCAGTCAGTTTTTTGCCGTGATCTTCCATTCAATACCATACATACCCTTGCTAGGGATCAAAGTCGTGAGTTTAAGAACCTGTGATCTGGCCCCCAAGCTTCGCAATACATCATAAACACCAGGCCGACCTGAACAGGAGAAGACGCCCTCTTGTGAAGCAGCTACGAAGACAGACGAATGCAGGCATCAACTCCCGATAGCATCTGTGAACCTCGGAGGGTATAGGTATGACATTTAGCCCTTAAACGCGAGATTGCATGTGCTAATGCGCCACGTCTCCAGGCCACATGCAGAGAAAGATGGTTTGTGCTGCTTAATGCCACCCAATCCGAACTCGCTCTTCTTTGTTTCAACATATGGACACAAGCTTGGCTTCCAGACAACAAGTTACCAGGATCTGCTATTAGGCCAACAATCCCAAGAATCCACCCTATAAAGGGTCTTTCTTAGGGGTCATAGGGTAAAGAAACCCATGCTGGTATGCCTGGCTGCAAGAGTTCAGCGTTTGCAGTTCACGAAAGAAAGTTCTGTCAAATGCTGCGAGCGGAACCGATACTGTGCGAGCAAAGAACAGGCAGCGCACAGCTGTAGCTCTAAGCCCTGACCCCAAACCTCCGAACCCCAACTTTACATCTTGTAAGGTTGGGCCCAAGAAACCAATCGACACCACCACTCCCACGACGTGGCCGCCTGTCAGTACTGCATGCGGGTGAACCGAAAGCTGTTGCGGCTTGAAAGTCCTATGCGCTCCCGGCTGCAGGGGCTCTTGCTTCCGTGTTTGGTATTGTGGTCGCAAAGCAGCCACGCCTTCATGGGCCGACTCACCACCATCTGGATCTGCAATCCATATCCATGATCGCCATAAAGACTCCTGGGAGGTGTCCCAGGGCCATGTTACTTCAAAGAGCCCTGAATTGCATTGAAGCCTCCACAGCCCTAAGCCCGACACCCTCCTCCTTTTTGGGTTCTGGGCCTACTTAGGACTCCTAATCTCGCTTGGGGCCTGAGGTCTTGAGCCAAAGAGCAAACAACTACGCGTGCTCTTCCTTCTATCTTGCCACGCTCAGAGTTTCCCTTCCGCCGTAGGCTAAACCCTGTCGAAATAAAGCCTTCTGGTCCGAACGGTTAGAACCTTAAGGGTTTATTTAGGGTTTAGGGTTGAGGGTTTAGGGTATAGGGTTTGGGAGGCTGCTCATGAGCAACCTCCCAAGGAAGCCGGTGCTTGCTGCAGGCCTGTATGGATGCACGCGACAGCGCACTGTGGCCGAGGCCGCCGGCAACCTTAGCGGCGGATTCGATCCTGCTTCCAGGTTCATGGGTAGTTATAACTAGGGGTCTAAGTATGGTAACTATACTTATAACCCCACTTGGGGTACTTATAGCCCCTGTGATTCGAGATGCCCGGTGTTGGAATTCATTGGCCTGATATGGGGGGTTACGAAAAAAAGGGAGCCCTTATAGACCCCCAAATAGTGGGATTCCCTTCTCATAAGGACCCAATACCCTCCCCCCCCCCCCCCCCCCCCCCCCTCAATTCGGGATTTCAGTTTGATGGCAGCATGGCACCGGCAGTAACCAGATTCTTTCTCACAAGCCTAAGCCACTCTTCATGAGAGTTACACGTCGCAACCACACTAGGGCTGACCACCGTGTTCAGGACTCAGATCTATACGCCGATTCCATCTTATCTTGACCCTCAGTGAAACTTGAAATAGAAGCTAAGCCCGACGTCTAAACCTGTAGGCCAAAGCCCTGAACCCAACCCCCTTTGCCGCGTCAGGAGCTAGCAGTGTGGCCGACATCACGAGCAAGACTTTCACAGAAGCACCCGGCGTCCAAGCATACCAGTGGCCGAATCTGTACCTCGGTCTCTTCGGGAAGCCTCTACGGGTCTAACTCTTTTGGGGCTTCGGGTACTGAAGCCGAAAAATGCAGAACCAAAAACCCCGTCTTCCTTGGCGCATGCCGAGGGTTTCGCTGCACACCGCCAGCAGTGCTTTTCAACTCCATCTTTCAGATCTCTCGGATTCATGAACAGGCACAAACTATATGTTCTCCATGCGGCCTATGCTCCTGCACAGCTCATAAACTGCGTGGTCATCGTGTGCCCATTTTCTGCGTCAGCAACAGCGGTCTGCCTTTTGAGTTCAGGCCCGGGCCTTGAATCCTAATCTCCATACCCATCCCAAAGCCCAGATCCATGAAGCGCAGCCTCTCTGCTTCCTCCCCCCCCTCGGAGGATTCAAGCCACAAAGCTACTCCCCCGCTTGCTTGTGCTCGCCCTGCTTCCCAGGAGTACGCTTGTCAAGCCACAAAGCTGCCAGATTGCACGGTGTAGGGTTTAGGGTTTTCTAGATTTCAGCCCCCCATCACAAGGTGAGCACTAACATACCTTGAATGACACGACGGCTCTTGTCATACGGTTTAGGGTACCCTTATAGTGACATGCACTGGGGGGTTTCCGAAATTCGGGGGTACCTTATTGGGGTCCTACTATTTGGGGGTCTCTGAGGGGTCCCTTCTTTCGTAAACCCCATTTGGTTGATGGGCCGCCTTCACCTCAAGCACCCAACGCACTTCCAGGAAACTCACTTTAACTCCATCTTCTTCTTTGAAGCCGACCTATGGGGGGCATGAGGGCGGCGTTGGGCAAAGGGAAGTGGCACTCGGAGCTGTCTCTGTGGGGGCCCCTGGCTTAACTGACACACCCAAAGGCCAGGGATGGCTGCATGAGCCTGCCTGGGAGCTTGCTCGGCCCTCCCATTTCTCTGGTGGCCGACGCAGCTTAGGGTTTAGGCGCATCAATATGCCATGCAGAGTACAGCCTTAAGGAAACTTTGGGGATGTCGGCGGACAAGTTGCGTCAGATACGTAGAGAAGCCTGCTTGGTGTGCGGCACGCTTGTCTCGAAAGCGCTGCCTTCCGAAATGCTGCTAGAATACTCGACGCCAAAGCAAATGGCACCTATAATCTTAGGGTTGTTGCAAGGGCCCTTCGCGGGCCCTTAATTGGAGCCCATAGATAGATATATATATATATATATACATACACATATATATATATATATGTCTATAGCGTTTTCAAACCCAGGGCCCATGTTTCAAATGCCTTGAAGGAAGGTAAGTGACCATATTTAGGGCCCATGTAGCCCCTCTTAAAACTTAGATATGAATCGCAAACCAGTAAAAACCTCTTGTGCTTTCTGACGCCGAAGGCTTGAAAGCGCCAACCCTTTGACGATTTTTCGTGGTTGGACAGTCCTAAAGCAATCGTTACTTGGGTCCCGCAGCCTGTAACCCCACGCAAAAAAAAACACCCAGCATACGATCCGAAGAGCACCAAAGAAGTAGAACTATGCAAGAAAACACATCATAGTCGATTCTGGGCACTTAGCAAAATGTTGAGTTTCCATATAAGTCCATGAGACTGGGCATCAACTCATCAATGGCCGATATATAACGTCAACAACTGATAAACACAGATCCAAATAAATGCTGGGTAGCTTCAGAAAAGCTGCTCTAAGCGAACTCATGCTCGACCTCTTTGAAAAAATCTCAATCACTTGCCTTTTTATGTATCCATGTAACATTTACTCGAAAACAAGCAACAGAATTTGTTCAAACGCTCTGAGGTTGTTTAGAATATCTGAGACTCTCGACTCCACAGGGTGATCATGGTCATAATCATGAATGCGAAGCCAGGCGTCAATGGCACTCAGCGGACCTTTGTTTAAGGGAATCGCTGATGTGTGTAGAGATGAAGGCCTTCACCTTCCAACACATTCGGAGAATAACTTAGGTGGTTAAGGACTTCGAGGTTCGGGGTTTTACTTGCCGTTCCCGATTCAACCTCGGAATGGCCCAAGCCCAGGTAATTTCCATGCCCTTCAACTCTAGCATCACCCTCCAAACGTGAGCCGAGCGGAACAGCAGGGCCTCTCGCGCCATATGATGCGGACGATTTGATGCCTCAGGGCAACATTCCCAAGGCCAAGGGCATAATTAAACGCCTCAAGCCATCATCGCAAACTATCCCCGCAAGCGCAAGAGCCAAGCTTACGTTCTCTACGGGCCTGCTTAGGACCAAGGTGCAACGCCGACCCTTACAGGATGTGCTTGTTTGTGTTTTCCTGTGCGCGCGCAACCCACTGACCTGCAAGACCTCTTTCACCGCGCGCCCCTTCTGATTTCAGCCTAGTCCATCAGAGCTACAGCAGCCAGTCACTGCCATTGCTTTCAAGGATGGCCCTTAAAACCCTCTGAGTTTTTGTTCCTGAATATGGTCCTCTTAAACCCAGTAAGGAAAAATGTAAAATGTCCGCACTTCAAACAAATCTTGATGCACGGCACCCAGGCCAAGGCCTGATCCATCAGGAGCACACGCAGGAGACACGACAGGAGCAAACGCCCGGCGCTCAGCACAGACGAGAAACACCGGCATTGTTCGGCCGCAAGGAAACCAGAGGAAAAAGGCCTCGTCTAGGATGCCATATGACAAGTGTCACCAAAGCAAGGAGCCTGTCAAACTGTGTCGGCCCGCCATCTTCAGTTGCAAGAAAGCTGCTAAAATCGCAGGGCAAGTTCCGGCAACCGAACCCATATCTCGAGCTCAAGGCTCCTATGACGAGATGGCGAGATGTCTAGCAGAACACACGATATCGCTGCCACGGATGAAGGGATCCCAGGCATCCTTACAGCACATGAAATGCCCAGGATTGTTGAACAAAGGCCTACAGGCAAGCCGAATGCAAATGTTACCCACACGCGCAATCATAGAGGGCCAGCACACTTGCCTTCTTCATGCTACAGTGGCAGTGCAGAATGAACTCAGTTTGAAACCTCCAAAAGTGTCAAGGCCGTTGCTGGTTTCCAAGCACTCATGATTCGACACGCCCGATTAAACAAGGGCCAAGCGCAGCGTGGCTGAGCAAACAAGGGCCAAGTGCAGCGTTGCCGAGTGATCCGTATCCGTATCTATGTTGACAGGTGGTGCTTCCGCTCCAGAAGTCCTAAAATCGTAGAAGAGGTCCAACGTGGCCTGGTAAGGCAATGCTAGGAGTTGATCTGGGAAACTGCCTCCGCGTGAGCACGTCAAAATGGGAGGAAAAGAATCCTGGACGACGCGTGGCTCACAACGCCCAATGTCGGTTCCCAGCAAAGAGAGTGGCCGATGCCTGGTGAGATGTTTCCTCAAGTGACCCAAACCGCCTCAGAAGCAGATTTGAGAGATGGCCCAGGCGGCCAACCTGCACTCCCGAGACATGGACGGCATGGATACTCAGCTTAGGTTTATAGGCACCTCACGATGCCCCAGTGTGCCAACTGGTCTGAGCTCGCAGGCATTGGCAGAAGGCCGTGCTGTCATGCTAGAGGTGCCTATGAAACTCGCATGAAAAGAGACTTGTCTGTGGTCATAACATGCGAGGACCCGAAGACTGGCAGAGCTTGCCTCCATCAAAATCCAACCGTGCTCGATGCCCTCAAACGAAGGAAACGAAGCGGGGACCCTTGCATTTCTTGCCAGGTACCCGCAAGGCTACGGGGTTCAAGGCAGTCTCGGGCGACGCGGTGGCGCCGGTTTAGACCATGTTTCGAATCTTGTGGATCGTTCCCAGAGTTTTATGCAAATACGCCGGGTTGACCAACTACGTGAAGAGGTGCACATCTGGATGCTGAAAACCTTCTGCCACTCCAACCCTTAGAACCACCCTAAACCCTAAACCCTAAACCCGAAACCCTAAACCCTAAACTCCAAACCCTGCTGACCCGCTCTTCCACGGGGGTTACCAGTGTTGGCCTTGCAGGCCGAGGCACAAAACCATGAACCACACTCCCAGGAAAATCAGGGACGGGAGACCTTGGATTGAAACTTGGAGCTAGCTTTCGGGTTTTTTCAGGCCTGGATTTTGTGTTCAGTCTCAACCTTCTCTCGGTGATGGCCATCAGGTTGGTACGAAGCAGGGAGGGAGTGTAAGGGGTCTACATTCCGTTATCAAGGCTACCTTACTAATTTACAGCCTATTTGAGGAATGTGGGCCTCTTACACCTCCCCTCCCTCACACCTCTCTGGATCCTTAACGAGAATCCGCGGGCCTACTGCCCCTACAGCGAGAAGCCCCAGAGCCCAAGGCCAAGCAAAGGTCAGGAAACTGCAATGTGGCGCAGGCTGGTGCACACTTCGGTGTAAGGCTTGACAGTTTGGACTTCAGATTTCAGAGAACTATACAGAAACCTACACCTCCCCACACCCTACATGCTTCAAGATGTCGGAGATTTGGGGTTCGACCTTCCCTCATGTAATTCCTAGCCTCAAGCTCAGCAGCACATGGATTGCTCTTGGAAGGTTCGGGTCTGAGGCTCGCTCGAACTTGAAGGCTGATTAGGGCCCGCACACGTCTTCTTCACTCTCTGCCCCGATCCCGCTTCTGGGTCTCTCCACTCCAGGCTTAAGCTCCTGATTATTTTATTATGATTATTATCACTATTATTCTTATTGTAATTATTATCACTATTATTATGATTATTGCCATTACTATTATTATTATTATGAAAATTATTATTATTCTTCGTATTCTTATTCTTATTCTTCTTATTATTATTAGGGAAGTGTCCTTTAAGCCCACAACCCGAAAGCGATAAATCGAATCCCCCGAAAAGCTGTACCCGCGTCTTGAGCGTTTTTAGTCACTTTAAAATCTTGTGCAAGGACCTGAAACAAAAAACGACAAGAACAACAGAGCCCGGTTACCTGCCTTTGGCATTGAGCCCCAAAAAATTGAGAGATTTGTTCAGGCTTGAGGGTTTGGGCTTAAAGGAACATGAACCTGTTTTCTGAAGCTTGCCTGCTCCTTGCTGTGCTTCGGACTTCTGGAGCACGACAGCAATGCATTCAGGGTGCTTGCACCAAGCCCCGCAGGCCTGTTTAGGGTTTAGGGTTTAGGGTTTAGGGTTTAGGGTTTAGGGTTTAGGGTTTAGGGTTTAGGGTTTAGGGCCCGGAGTTCGGAGTGGACTCTGCCAACACCCAAGAAGCCCACTCCTACCTGACAGAGATCATGGAGCTGGGGATTTTACTGTTGCCATGAGATCCTGAACCCCTAAACCCGAAACCCTAAACCCTAAACCCTAAACCCTAAACCCTAAACCCTAACCCACAGTGAGGGCTGCAGGGCCTCAGGGTGCACGTCTGTTCCTCTGCGAATTTAACCTCTACTCAAGGGCAACCAACCTCACCGCTGCGCATTCGTGTAAGTCCCTAAACCTTAAACCCTAAACCCAAGTAGGTTTAGGGTTCAGATTTTTTGGGAAGCTCTTACATGAACATGCCATGCCGTGTCAAAGCTTGGTGATGGCGTCGGGAAACAACTAGTAGGGAAGATCAGCTTCGGAAACATCAGGTTTTTCAGTTTTCACCTGATGCAGACCCTACAAGTAACACCTAAATTCCTGGACCCGAATCGCTTATTAATGCTATCTCTAAAACATTTAAGCCCACCATACAAGATCTGCGCACCTGTCTAAACCCAGAGCGAGAATCAGGGCCCTCTCTGGCCTCGTCTCGGCTACGCATGGGGCAGACTGGGCAGGCAAGGCGCCGGGAAAAGGCTTTAGAAGTTTGGCCACAGAAGCCCCAAAGCCCACCCTCAAAGATGGAGAGCTACCCCTCAGTTGAAGCCTGCTCCTGCCCTGCACCAGACGCCGCAGCGATATCCAAACTTTGCTTAGGGGGGAACCTCGGGTTAAAGCGCCCGGCTTCCAAGCAATTGGGGCTTGCCTAGATGGAGTTTCATCCCAGTCGGCAACACTCAATATGCGCCGTGCAGTGACCCATATGTGAACTTTCAAAGGTTGTGGTTGTTTTTTGGCTTGGCAGAGTAAGGAGGCTTTTGAAAGACCTTTAAGATGACACGAGGCTTCCTTGAGCTGTTCAGCGTTGGGGTTTCAGCAAGATTGGGCACTTTGCCAGCCAAAGCCCAGCCCTCCCCCCTCCCCGCATCCCAAGTCCGAAACAACGAAGCCGAAGCCCTTAACCAAAAAAGCCCTATACACCCTATACACCCTACAAACCCTATATAGACCCTACAGACCCCATACACCCTCTAAACCCTATAAAGCCTATAGACCCTATAAACCCTATAAACCCTATAGACCCTATAAACCCTATAAACCCTATAAACCCCATAAACCCTATAAACCCTATAAGCTCTATAAACCCTAAACCACAAGGGTTCGGCGAGACTGGCCTGGAGTGGGGCTACAGCGTCCATGGCGCCCGCTCGGAAGACATCATGCCGAGAGGGCCATGCACGAGGGGGCCATGCATGCGACCTGAACCCTCACACTCGCTGTCTTTGGGCTGGAAGATCCCTAAACCCTAAACCCTAAACCCTAAACCCTAAACCCTAAACCCTAAGCCCTGAAGGCACCAGCCCTTTGGCTCGGCTAACATGGACTCGGGCATCGTTGCTCTGGAAAGCGATTGCAAGGATGGGCTGCTGCAACTGCTCTGCATACTTCTGCTGCTGATGATGACGACATAGGATGACCATGATGAGACGGAGTGCCTTGACCGCGTTTGCAGCCATTGCATGTGTAAACAAAAAAACAGATGCCTTTGGCCAGAAATTGTGGCACGCACTGGCTCGTCGTGGTGGTTGAAACTTGGCAACCTTGAACTGAATGCCCCCAAGGCCAGGGGAAACTCGAAACCAACCCTGTTTACTATTTTTTTATCTACAATCGGCAACTGCTCAAAGTGTACCATGCACAACGACCCAAGTTCGAACCCTAAGAGCCAAGCGTCAGACCCAAACCCGGAACCCTCAGACAGGCGCGCCAGCGCTTATCCTGTTGGGCTAATGTGCAATGCTGGGCTTAGGGCGGGCTTTCGGACCTGCTTCTCTGGTAATCCTGCAATTTGTCGTGGAATTCAGTTGAGAGTCCAAGATGGAAAATTGAAAATGTTGAGGTACGTGTAAAGTTCAATTGGAGACACAGACAGAAGAAATCAACCGTACGATGGGCCATAACCATATGCCCCTCCATATATATATATATATATACATGCATAAATGCATATGCCCCGAAAAGCTGCAGCTCTCAAAATTGCGCAAGCACCACCAAAGGGCTCAACCAACTGTTGAGGACCCTCCATGGTAAGGAGCCTTGAGCCACTCTCCGACGTCAATTGTCTGTTAAGCTTGAAGTGGCCAGTGGCCTGAAGCCCAAAATTGCAAAGCCACCCCCAAAGCGCATATGCCACATGCCCTGAAGCCACTGACAGCAACATGCCCTGAAAGCAAACCGTGTACCACAAGTGGAAACCACGAAGTATGCTGACAATCACCTCGCCTGCGAGAGGCCAGCCTGGGTTGCCCTCGCGTTCGCTCCTGGAGAAGAAGGGTTTAGGGTTTAGGCTTTAGGGTTTAGGGTTTAGGGTTTGGGGTTGACATTGACTGGTATCACACTGATGCTGGCTGAGCGGTCGCGGGAGGAGAAAAGCTGTTTTTTGTCCGTTTTTCTCTCTAAAATATTCCTAAATATTCTCCTCGTAAACCCAATACGGGAAAACTTGAAATGTCCCCAGAGCCTACCTAGTTCTTTTCTGCCTTCAGGGCATCTTCTGCAACCACCCACAATCTTAAGTCCAACTGGGGAAACATCCTGAACAACAGCACAGGCAGCGGTTGTTTTGCTAAAAAACCCCTAACATGATTGCCACGCTGCTTTAGGGGCGCTCTGCAAAGGCCACATTCGTTTTTTTTCTCCGTCGTTGGCACAGGGGTCGCGTCCTGAGGACGACTGAACGCCCTTGGTCGCGTCCTGAGGACGATTGACCACCCTTGCCCTTGCCTTTGCCCTTGGAACATTTGGACTTGCTTCCACTATCCTCCTCATCTGCTTCGCTGTTCCTCAACACAATGGTGTCAGCGGGAATGTTACCAACATCACCAAAGCAACGTATGCAATACTCGCTGACCCAGCTGACTAGCGTAGATCCCCGGGTCGGTCCAGGGCTGGTTCCACTGCCAACCCTGCCACCCATCGTGGCTTCAGTCCTCGCGCAACACTGCTATACACCGCAGCAGGGGTCGGGCAGCAACAGAATTGAATTCATCTGCGTTTCCTCCTCGCGCCAGCTGCCGGTCGAATGCCAGGGCATGAGGCATAACGTGAGTGTTCTTGCCCAGAGAGCCCAATACCCCTTAATTAAGGAAAATATTGCTTAAATTACAAAGGGATCCCTATTATGATTTAAGGAATATTCCTTAATTAAGTGGTATTGGGCTCTTTGGGAACATGAGGGTTCTTGTTTCGTGTGCTTCGACTACCGTTTTGCCAGTCAGGTTCAGCCCAGAGCGGCTCGTGACGACGGCCACACCCGAAATCCGCCAAAGTACGCGCGACTTTCCAGCTTGTGTTTTCCTTGCGGGCGCGAAAGGATTGCGCCCTAAACCCTAAACCCTAAACCCTAAACCCTAAACCCTAAACCCTAAACCCTAAACCCTAAACCCTAAACCCTAAACCCTAAACCCTAAGCCCTAAACCAGCATGGGCGGCCCGGCGGACCCAGCCGAGATGTCGTCTCGCGAGATGCCAAGGCGGCCAGATCAGAACCCATGTGGACACATGGCTTTCGGCTGCATGGGCCCTAAAAGGCCCCTAAAAGGGCCCTAAAAGGGCCCCTAAAAACCCCTAAAAGGCCCCTAAAAACCCATAAAAGGCCCCTAAAAGGCCCCTAAAAGGGCCCTAAAAGGGCCCTAAAAGGCCCCTCAAAGGCCCCTAAGCCCCCGAAGACCGAAGACGCCCTAAGATGCCCTATAGGCCTCCGAGACCTCTGAGCCCTCTGAAGTGGAAGGTGGATTGATCATTCAGCCCTATTAGGGTTTAGGGTTTAGGGTTTAGGGTTTAGGGTTTAGGGTTTTATGCCGCGAGAAAGGCTTCAGTCACAGCAATACCAAATTCTCGGTTAGGACGCATGAAGTTCTGCAACAAACTGCGGGGAATGCAGCCCCGAAAACCTGTACCCAAAACCCCAAAACCCTAAACCCTATTCGTCGCACTATGTCACATTATGTCACCTAGTAGTTTCGGTGCTGGGACCTCGGCTTGGGATCCCAGAGCAGTGTGATTCCCCCGAAGACAGGACTTTTGAACGGCCGGTTGTGAGGGGAGTTACCGGTTTAGGGTTTAGGGTTTAGGGTTTGGGGGTTTAGGGCGTGAATCCTTCAAGGGTATCAGATTTGAGCCTGAGCAAAACACCCATCCATAGGGCTCCTGGGTTCTAGATTCTAGACCTGACGATCTAAGCCAACTTGCCAAAAATGAGGCCCAAACAAATGTCCAACTAGAAATGCCTAAAGCTTGAATCCTGATCCACCTTCTAAACCGCGCAACCTGGAAAACCCGGGTAGCCCTAAACCCTAAACCCTACACCCCTAAACCCTAAACCCTGAACCCCTAGAATCCCGGTCTCTGGTTGAGCCTGGACGAGGGGAGTTCGCCGTGTCACTGGTGTGGATTGCGACTGCAGCAGGCCCACTTAGAGACTTGAGAGAGACCCTCAACAAAAACAGGGTCTTGGGTGCAAGGTTTAGGGTTTAGGGTATTAGGGTTTAGGATTTAGGGTTTAGTGTTTCGGGTCTTGGGTGCAAAGGCCATCTTGCAAAAGACGGGGTGACCTCGGATGGCAAAATCTTGAAATTGAAGGGTTAAGCCAAGATTCAGTGGGTTTAGATCACCCTCCGCGTTACAACACCTTCGTGCCTGCAACGCCCCCGTTTGCAACACAAGTTAACATCAAGCCACGCCCCACGAGGATCCCCAGCGCCCCATCGGTAACCCTTTCTCAAGACAGCCCTTTTCTTAAATGCGGAACCCCTCAAACTGCAGGTTCTACCCTTCCTGAAGACCTGAGACTCCTTAGCCGCAATCAGGTTGAGGGTTCTACCGTTCCTGACCTTCCTCAACTCCAAGCTTCAGTGGGCACCGGCCTAGCTCCCGCTCCAGCTTCACCTCTTCCGGCACTGGCGGCTCTTCGAACATCGGGTGGTGATCTGAGCCGGACGAATCAGAAACATTAAGACTTTTGCCCCAAACCTGAATCTATGCAGCATGAAGCCCTGAAGCCTAAGCTTGGCAACTCAAGCCACAAATCACCAAACCCTCAATCCTAAAAGTGGTTGGTTGGAGTGAGAGGTCGAGCGAGCCAGAGTTGCGAGTTGATTTGAGAAATTTTGACATTTGGAGCAATGAGGTCCTTGGCTTTAGGTTAGGGGCTGGGGGTCTTGAGTTTAGGAGGAAAGGGTTTGATCTTGCTCCTTTCCCACGTGTATCCTCCACCCTCGGACCTGTTGGCTTCTGAGGATGCTGCCCTAAACTCTAAACCCTAAACCCTAAACCCTAAACCCTAAACCCTAAACCCTAAACCCTGAGCTTGACTCGTCTGCTTCAGGAGCGACGGGAGCTGTGCGCTCGTTGGACTGGACGCTTGGCAAAAGGCCCGTGGACGCAGACTTGAACTCTGCCGGAGGCGGCAATCTCAAGACCAGGGCATGGTGCAGTGGACATTACTTTTACCATTACTACTATCATCATTATTTCTATTACTATTATTGCTACTACTATCATTATTACTACTATTATTATTACTACTATTATTATTATTGCTATTATGATTCTCATTTGTATTCGAGGCGAGGATGCCGATTGGCGGCGACACACCTTGCATGATGTGGGATCCGGGAAAAGGAGAACTCGAATGGCAATACGGTGCATTGGAGGTGGCATGAGGGCAAGTAGCTACAGGCAATGGTGGTCGTGCGGTTTTGGGGTTTAGGGTTTAGGGTTTAAGGGTTAAGGGTTAAGGGTTAAGGGTTTAGGGTTTAGGGTTTAGGGTTGACAGGAGGCCTAAAGAGGTTGCAGGGGCCCGCAGCTTTCGGCTCCGAAGACTTTCAACGTCATCGGCGCCTCCCTGCGGTTGCCAAAGCACGGAGAGCTGGATGTCTTGTCCCTTGAACCGCCGCCTGTTGGTCTTGTATACTCGTAGCGGTCCTCCAGTGGCACATTGCTGTTGCTCGTTGCTGTGTGCTCAGTGCTCGTTGCTTGTGGCTTCAGCCCCGAGCTGAACGTTTGAGGGTACTCAAAACCCCGAAGCAATACGGACCTGTGCCGTATAATTGAAAGCCCGGAACCCTAGCCCTAGGCCCCTGCTGGGCCCCCAGGTCCTATGCACCTGCAAAGCACCGATTTTAGTAGGGGTTATACGAGGGGGGCGGGGCAACTCGTCGAACTGACTTTCGGCTGCCGTGAAGGCTTTGGATGATTTAAATTGGACACTTGGGATGCTTTGCCGGATGTGCCGGTTTCTGGACTAGCCCTCCAGCTGGGCCACACAGTATTTGGGATTTTGAGCTTCGATTTGAACTCTTCCTGTGCGCCCAGACAACCAGTCAATAAGTGAGAGCCGCCTGTTTGCCGGCGATGGAGCACAAAGTCCAGGCGCTTCACCGGCATGACGATGGGCTGCTGTGGCAAGTCCTGGCCATTGGTGCGTCGGCTGGGTAGTGGGTTTAAGGTTTAAAGCTTAGGGTTTGGGGGAAGGATGATTGGGCCTGGCAGAAATGTTAAACACGTCGTTCCTGTGGCTTGGGCTCACTGTATAGGCAGGAGCATTCAAACCTGCACTGCAATGAGCTTGGCCAACTTGCAAAAAATCATTTTCAGGAAGTCGATTATTTCCCCCAGCAGCATGTATGCTCTTATTATATGGCTTCTTTACTTGGCGAAGGTCAAGCGGTCAAACAGCCAGGCTATGAAGAAAGAAACATATAATAAAAAGAAAAACATACAAAAACCAGTCAGGAATAAATTGAAACAGAGAGAGCGAGAGAAGAACAAAAAGGCAATGAGATAAGTCAATAAAGAAAGAGTGCCTCCGCTCTAATTTCTTCTTAGCAAGAAACACACACTACAACGGCACGTCAAGATAGAGCGGAGTCGCAGGAAGCCAGAGTAATAAGCGCACCAATAAAAGAAAACCAAAACAGTAAGAATTGGCGGATGAACTTGCGCACATGGTTCACTTCGACTTCGTTTGAGCCTGTCAGTCGTGGTAGACGTGTATACAAATGTGGCATTTACAGCATTCAAAACCCTTGGCAGCACATCACAGCGAGATTTGTGTATCTGCCCGTGCCATGGACACAAGTGTGCCCAGTTAAGTCTTCCCCATTCGACCTTACAACCGCTCAAAAACCCTGCTCACTGCAATGCACCGCGTCCTCTTCTCGCAGGTACCGACCGTAGTCTGGTGCATCCGGGACTTCAGGCTCCAACCTCTGGAGTTTCTCATGTCTTTCTCTTTTGAAGTGAGCACACAACCCCTGTAGTTCGGCCCTCAACAGTCCTCAATCGTTACCTTAAGTACAGCATCAGGGCCTAAAGAGTCGTGAGGTCTAGGGTCTGGAAAGTCCACAAGCTGGAAAGCAGGACCATACATGCACATGTCGCCTTGCGTGTTTGCAAGCTATCTCCGGACCTTCCATGAAGTGCACCTGCAGCAAATCAAGCTTAATGAAACAGGGCGAAAGCTGAACCCCAGAACCTTGAAGTCTTCATTGTTGAAAATGGAGCCGGTTGAGAGGTTGCAGGCCCAAGCCCTGGATAACTTCCAGCACTGCCCAACGAAAGCCCGACTGACGAACACCTAGCTGTAGCAGCCTGACCCGTGTGCCACAAGGAAGTCCAAACTAGTCCAAACCCAAATCAACGTCCAGCAGACCACTGAACGAGTCGAAGTCCAGAAAGCAATAGTGGGTTACGAGTACAGTTATCCTCAACCCTAAACCCCAAACCCTAAACCCTAAACAACACAGCAGCAGCAAGGTCAGCCCTCAGCCCTGTTCACCGAGACTGCGGAGGCGACAACATCTCTGGGCAAGCGAGTGACCCTCCTTCTTTTGGCGTCGTCCTGGGCAGTTTCGAGCTGCGGCGGTGGTTTCAGCGAGGCCGAGTAGGGGTCATGGACATGGATCTCGGGGCCATGGACATGGATTAGGGTTTAGGGTTTAGGGTTTAGGGTTACACTTTATCTAAGACGTCACGCGACATGCAGGCTATAAAGCAGTCTCGTTGCTGAGTATTCCTGGCCCTTAAGACGTGGTGTTCAGGTGCTCAGATACGTTGTGGTCCCTATACCCTAAACCCTAATCCCTAAACCCTAAACCCCAAACCCTAAACCTGGCCCATGCTCAGCTCCGGGCGGCTTGCCACCAAAAGTAAGGCGAATGGGCAAGGAGGATGTCATTATCCTGAGTGGAGTCTTCTCGATGCAGGTCGGGGGAGTTTGGGGCTTTGGGACTTTGAAGCCTTAACTTTACTTTGAGCCTGAGCCATAGCCCGCCAGTTGCTGGCCCGTAACGCCCTCAAACCCTAAACTCTAAACCCTACACCCTAAACCCTGAGGCCACTGAGGCCTTTTTAAGAGGAATCCATTACTGGACTACTTCTTGTCCTATCTTGAGAGCCTTCTCATGTCAGCAAAGGCTAGCCGAGCTGGGGGCTGGGAGCTTGCCAAGACTCCGGACCGCAGGGTTTAGAGTTTAGGGTTTAGGGTTTAGGGTTTAGGCCCTTAGTCATCCCGATGATTTTGAAGCCACAAAGCCTACCTTCCTTCCTCAGCCGCGTCCGAGAGGCTCGCGCTTGCTGCCGAGGAAAGGCGTGACATGCAGCCTGCAGCAGGTCTCAAAACCTTGAGCCCTAAACCCAGAAGGAATGGAGCCCTACCACTGGATGGCATTCTAGTTGCCATAGTCCGTGCCATGATTTCTGGGGATTCCTCTGAAGAGGTTTGGACCTCAAACCCATGCCACTCCTCGTCCGGGTGTGGTTTGCCCAACTCTACGGCGCCCTTTTATATGCACAAGCATCTTATGTCGAACCCACGTGCGGGAAGGGTTGTACGAGCAAAGTCTTCTAATACAAAGCCCTGCTTCACTCAGGAAAGATGCCACAGAAAGAAACCCCAACCACAGCTGGTGGAAGTTCGCAGGGTGTAGCTTGCCCTGCCCGTTCAACCCCTTGCACTAAACACGGGGTTGGGAAAGTCACTGAAGGGTTGGGTGTATATGGCTGCAGCTGCGGGTATACGAAGTTGAACAGCCAACGAACAAGAGCTGGCATCAGGAAGAATTGGGTCACTACATGGTCTTCTACAGATGCGGCCTGCCAGAGGGGTATGAGGAGGGATGGGGAGTGGGGACAGAATGGAAGGGAAATAAACATGCCCTTTCGCACAACCCTACTTGTTTTAGAAAAATCCGCCTTCCCGGCGTAAGAACTCCAACCAGGACTGCTTCTACCGATGTACTCATGCCCAAACATCCCTGACCAGGAGAGCAAGCAAGAGTGTGCAAGGTTTTTGTCTAGGGCCACGCTGTTTATCTGAATTCTTGAACTTCCAAACCACGAGCCTGTGCAAAAATCCCTTGTGCCACAAAATACCCCAAAAGGGCAAAATCCCGAAACCCTAAACCCTAAACCCTAAACCCTAAACCCTAAACCCTTAACCCTACCTATCCACTTGATCCCCAGGATGCCTGCCGCCGGCAGGCTTCCAGCTGATCCTTTCGCATGTAAACTTTGGGGGCCAACAGGAGCTCAGGGCGAAAACTGCCGTGCGTGTAGGGTTTAGGGTTTAGGGTTTAGGGTTTAGGGTTTAGGGTTTAGGGTTTAGGGTTTAGGGTTTAGGGTTTAGGGTTTAGGGTTTAGGGTTTAGGGTTTAGGGTTTAGGGTTTAGGGTTTCGGGTTTGGGGTTTGGGGTTTGGGGTTTGGGGTTTGGGTTTAGGGCGGTTTTCAGAGCAGCTTTGTAAGCTTTGTGGGATTCGTGGTAGCTTCAAGTTTGAGTGGTCCTGCGAAGCCGTTCATCAAGTCTTAAGGACTCATGGCCTTTGATAAGCATTTCTTCGAAACCAACAGTTCTTCGAGTTCCGACCTGAGGCCTAAGGCTTGTCTACGGCTTGATCTTTCCAGGGAGCTAGCTTCATCTGTTCTCGGACATGCACTTGCGTGTGCACTCCAGCATCGAACATGTGGCTTGGAGCCGATCAAGCAAGAAACATATGCTCTGAAGCTTCCAATGTACATATCGAATCAGTAAAGGACTCAGGCCTTCAACAACTCCGACCGCCTACACCACGAAGCCGCGACCCTCGAGCTTACACCACGCGAGACGTACCCTGCGCAAAACTTTGGATGTAGGGTTGCTGACATGTGGGCATCCGTTGTTGGCGGTTGTTTACCAGAGGTTCAACGCTCAGACTGCATGTGAGGCTGGGGACTCGGGATCTAGGCTGTGTGCTGCCGCGGCACAGCTGTAAGCCTTGGCGTACAACCCGTTCTGGATGGCCAAGTCCCGCGTCCTCCTTCTGCGCGGGCACATAGGTCAGGAGGGGCTGTCCGAAAAAAGGGGTACGCATTTTGGGGGTCCCTTTAAGGGGATTCTATCCCATCATTTGGGGCATAAGAGGGGTACCCTTTATTTGGGAAATCCCCACAGGATGTTCTTTGGGGTCTGAGCCCCCACAGATAACTCCTGCCCTGAACGCCGTTCTCGATCTTGAGAGTCGGCTGTCGGGTCGACGACATTCGACAGGTTGAGTGCTTTTATGTTGATGCCCCAACCTGGCAACCAGTTCAGGCTTCAGGGGGCTTTGCGATGTTTGCGATGTTTTGCGATGCTTTGCGATGCTTTGCGATGTTTTGCGATGCCTTGCGTGTGGTGACCTATGTGACGGTGTCCGTTGAGCGTTGCCGATTCCCATTGCTCGGGTTTGGATGCGCGCTTGCACAATGTTCCCTGGGTTGAGAAGGGACAATGTGTTGTCTCCTTGCCTTGAATGGGTTGCGTTGGTGGTTGCTAAGTCACCGTTTTGTCAGCATGCTGCTGGACGTCATCATCCTTCGGAATCCTAAACCCTAAACCCTAAACCCTAAACCCCAAACCCTAAACCCTAAACCGCATGGGGTACTCCAGCAGGTGCCCTGCATGGATGTTCTGGTCAGCGCACGCATTTGCACCACAGATGTTGGGGGGTTGTCAAAATTATGGTCCCTTTTTGGATCCCTATTATAATACGGCACCTGATATTCAGGGTACCCCAAAAGAGATCATAACTTTGACAACCACCACAGTGTTTTGTGCAAAGAACTTGAACGCGGGAAACGATGGCAGCGATGCATTAGGAAACTGCTGCTGGCCCATGTCTGATCAAAACACGACCCATTGGAACCCCAATGCGGAACCAAACGAAGCCCAACTCTGTCAAACTCTTCGCCTCAGTTGACCTGCATGATTTATGCATGTTTAGGGTTTAGGGTTTAGGGTTTAGGATTAAGTAACAGCTAGATGCCATCCATTGACCCACATGGAAAGCGGGGGACTTCGGTCAAAAGCAACGACTCTAGCAAATGCCTGTGGCAAGCAGCCCCTAAGCCGTGAACCCTAAACCCTAAACCCTGAACCCTAAACCCTCGAGCCCTGATCTTAGAGGCGTTGAGCTCATGGCCTGCACGCGCATGAAGTTGTTGAGCACTTCGTGCACGAAGAACTTCAAGTCGCGCATGGAGTCGATGGTCAGAGTGATGGCCTTTCGAAGAGGTTTAGGGTATGGGGTTTAGGGTTTAGGGTTTAGGGTTTAAGGTTTAGGGTTTAGGGTTTAGGGTTTAGCAGCTAAGTTGAGCATGTAGGGTTTTGATCGCAAGTTAGCAGGCAGTTATCAAACCCTACAGCTTGGGCATGTTTGGGCTGTGGGAAAACTGCGTGGCTACCACTTAAACCCGAAACACTAAATTCAAATCTTTGGCGGTCTAAAAGCGAAGAATACGGCATACAGAGCTTCATGCACCAGGTCATCGAATGTCTTTAGACCCTTGCTACGGCATGAACGCTGCAGCCAGGCATCTTCCGTGCCCCAGCTCACCAGCTTGTAGACCGTGTAACGAACTAAATCCTACTAAACCTTCCAACTTTAAAGCTCCAATCCAAAGGCCCCGAACATCCCTGAACCCCAGACGTCCCCCGTCCCCCGGGCGCACGTTGGGCACGTTCCACCGGTCGTAGTATCCGCGGTTGGCCCGCTGCAGTTGGACTTGCGAAGCGATGGGTGGATCAAAGGCCGGATAGAAGGAGACCTCGGTTTGGAGAACTTTGGCGACTGCCAGTCTATACTCCCCTTAGAACCTTAATACAAAACATATGCTTAATATCCTCTTGGGTTTTGTATGAACAAAAACTAGTTCTGAAGGGGGATATAGAAGTTATGCAAGAATGTAACGCAGCCACTGCACAGCCTATGCGGGGGCCCTACGGACGCGATGGCTTTGCAATTTCAGGCGCCCTAAATTAACCCTAAACCCTAAACCCTAAACCCGAAACCCTAAACCCTAAACCCTAAACCGACACACAGACTGGTTGCGAACCTACGGCTGGGCTTGAGGACGCTGGATAGGCTTGGGATTGCTGAAGTTTTGCGAGGTGCAAACTTCAGCTAGCTCAACATGCTAAGCCGATGTCGTGGGACAACCCCTTCGACATCAAAGACCCGAACAGGCAACAGCCAAGTCCAAAAAAATAACCTGCGTACCTGCCGCACCCGGCAGAAACCTCAAGTGCTTCTTAGCAACGTCTGGGAAGTCCACCGGGACTGGCTCGCGCTCCTTCTCCTTCTCCTGGCTCAGGATTTGGGTTGTCAGCGTTGCTACGCATCGCTGCGTGTAGGGCCAAGGGCCCAAGCCACAGCTCCCTCAGTTTTCGGCTTCCCCCATGCCGGCCGGGAAGAAAATACCATCTCCCGGGCAGAAGCTTCGCTTTCGTTGTGCCCAGGCCTCGCCAAACTCTCTTAGCCCTTCAGCTATACTCCCTTAATATGTTCGTGTATAATTAATATTCCCTTTGGGTTTTATAGAAAACATAAAAATAATCCCTAAGGGGGCTCTAGCAAGGTCCTGAACCCCCACCCATCACCTGCCAAGCTTTCCCCCGAAACCGTCCAACCAGGAGTCGACCCACTTTGCCTCTGCGAGCTCGATCTTGGGACTCTTGGGCCGCTGGGCCCACCAGAAGCCGCCGCAGTAGGGCTCTGTGCCTTTGACTTGCGGCTACTTCTGAGGGCCTTGCTAAATGGGGCGCCCCCGCACCCACTACGTAGCGGTTAGTAGCACCAAGCCGAGCAGTACGCAACACAAGGCCTCAAGGCTGCAAGGGCTGCAAGGGTAGCAGGGAGTTTAGACTGAATTCCACCTGCTTTACCCATGAAGTTGAGTTGGGGCTATGGAATCTGCAAGTGGCCCCTAGCCTCACCGGACCAGTGGTTCTGGAGTGGGCTTTGGGTGGCTAATCGCTTCCCCCTTTTATTAAATGGACCCCTAATAATAAAAACACTTTCCGGAAATCCTGCCGAAACCAACCCCGCCTTTAAAACCCTATTCCGGATTAGGGGGGGGGGGGGTCAGGCCTCCAAGAAACCCTGTGTGTGTGTGTGTGTGTGTGTCTCAGTGGCTCTGTCTGAGCCTTGCTGTGCTGCGAGAGTTGAGCTCTCCCCTCTCTGTCTCTCTGTCTCTCTCTCTCTCTCTATCTTTCTCTTTCTCTCTTTCAGTTTACACCACACTTACTTAAGTTGATTACTTGAGTAACCCTGAAGTCTAACGAATTATGACAATTCGATAAGAATACCCCCTAATAATAAAAAAAAACTTTTCGAATTTTGAAAGGGGGGGGGAGGAGGGGGGCCCCCCCGTTTAATATTAGGGTGATGGGATTAATTCGCGGCGGCTGGAAGTATTTGGTGGCTTCCGAAACTGGGGTACCTTATTCGGGTCCTTAGTCTCAGGGAATCCTACTATTTGGGGGCTACTGTAGGGGTCCCCCTATCTATTTTCGTAAACCCCAATGTAAATTCAATTGATAGTTGGGTTGCGGGCCTTGGATCTTCATAGAGTTTTGGGCTTGGGAAGATCGGCTGTGTGAAGCTTGATGTCAATCCTGAACCACATAGGGTTTAGGGTTTAGGGTTTAGGGTTTAGGGTTTAGGGTTTAGGGTTTAGGGTTTAGGGTTTAGGGTTTAGGGTTTAGGGTTTAGGCCAACCCTAGACACTGCTGCATAGTTCTTTGCAGCATTTGCTTTACAGAACCCAAGGCCCCGGTTGACGGAGCTTCTCACCGCTGTTAGCCATCGCAGGGCCCGCACAACCAACCACTATGACACCGCTCCAAAATCTTGGGGGTATTTCTGATTAGATCTTCGGCACCTTCAACTTCCAAGGCCTGAACCCGAAAATCTGTCAAAAAACATAATCCCCAATCCCCAACCGCAAACCCCTACTGCAAGTCCCAGTCCTATCTAGGAAGGCCGAATGATGCTACATCATGAGCTGAATGATGAGACAGCTCCTCATGCGGCCACGTCACAGACTGGCTTGATCGCGGAGGCTGCATGTAAGTCGTTGCTTCGCTGCGCCTCCACCTAGTTGGGCTTGAAGACCCTAAACCCTAAACCCTAACCCTAAACCCTAAACCCTAAACCCTAAACCCTAAACCCTGGAGTGGCAAGGAATGTCAAGGATGGAAGGCTCTACTCCCATTTAATACAGGGGCCTTAGTAACTAGAATAGGGTTTTGGGGGTTGCTATAATGGTTATAGTACAATTATAAAGGGACCATAAGGGAATACTCTCAGAATTTTTTCCGACCCCCCATACTAAACCCGAAACTCCTGGAGTCTTAGGAGATCATGGGAGTCCACTTTGGGGCGCATCTAGCCTTCTAAATCCCTGAATGCTTAAATCATAGGGTTTAGGGTTTAGGGTTTAGGGTTTAGGGTTTAGGGATGCTTTAAGGAAACCATCTCTGAGCTCTGTAACTTTCACCAGGGTCGTCTCAGGGGCCCTGAGGGTTGCCCCCGAACATCAGCTAACCTTGCACCCTAAACCTCCCTGAGTCCCTTTAGGGTTTAGGGCGTTTAGGGTTTAGGGTTTAGGGTTCAGGGTTTTGGGTTTAGGGTCTGAAAGTTCATCCAAAACTTGTAGACAGGACGCCTCACTCTCGATGAGGTGAGTGGCGCTGGCAACTAACCGGGCCAAGTTGACCATGGCTCATGCATGCTAGGGTGGGGGGGAAGGGAAGGGGGTGGGTTGGTGTGTTAGGGGTTGTTTTTAAAGGTAGCTATATGCCTGTGGAGTAGGAGTGGGTGGCTCTTGTTTGGCGTCTAGGAGTCTGGCATGTGGCGCTTGGTGTGACAGCGAGCGCTGGCGCAAGTCACAATCGTAAAATTCCACACGGGTTGAGGGCCGGCTTTCGATCAACGGAGTTGTACTGAGGCTTTCAAAATGCCAAACTCTTCCTTGAACTGTAAATTGTAAAAAAACCCCAAGACACCCCAACACTCACAAGTAGCGCTTGGCAACCGAAACACTTATTGATCAGCCGTTTCGCCAGCAAAAGCCCAAGGCTATAGCCTTCTCGAAAATTGAACTTTACATCCAACCAATATTAGATAAGATGGTATAGTCGCTGAGGGAACTAACGACCAGGCTAGTCCAAAGCACCGAGCTAGCTCCAAATGCCCCTCGGGCATTTTGCACGCGCAAGCCCGACACACAGAACCCCTAAGCACAAGTGTGATGTGCGGAGTGTTCATGGTCAAGACTGCTCCAAGCTGTGGGTGGTGCAGTCTTAGAGCCAAGGCTTTGAGGTGAGATCAAGTGCCACATGCGGATTGTAAAAGCTTGGAGTCTATACCCACTCAGATGGGATTCCATACTCGAAGCCCAACATGTGATGTTAAGCGCGCGCGTGGCTTCAGCTCAAACTCTACAAAACCCTAAACCTGAACCCTGGCCTTCGTTGCTCCGCTTTGGCGACCACACACTCTGACTTGCCCTACCCATGTGGTTCTGCCTCAGCTTTGTAAGGCCCCAATCTGTTATGTTACGATTCAGATAACCCTTTGAAACTTTGCTCATCCTTCGTTCAACCCCAAACCCTGGGAGTCCGCTCCCCAACCAATAAAGGCTATTCAAGACCATGTGTCCTAAACCCTAAACCCTAAACCCTAAACCCTAAAACCCTCACTTCATGGCCATCTCAGAGAGAAGCGCCTCTCTCTCACAGCTGGAGGCCTGCCCGTGCAAGGATGCTACGACCCTCTGCAAAAGTTTGTCTTCAACTGGGTCCTGTTCTTTGATAGGTCATGTGTTTAAAGGGTTTAGGGTTGAGGGTTTAGGGTTGATATAGCTTTTAGCCATCACCACGAGCTGTATGGTCAGAGTACTTACACTAGGATGCCAACAGCAAAAGGTAGCGCCTCTTTGAAAAAAGTTCGGCGCATCTGCGCGGAAAGGGGTGTAGGGTCCAGTCGCTCTGCAGCGCCAAACAACCAAAATTCATGTCTATGATACATGCAACCCTGCATTGAAAGTTCATGGGCTGCTACACAGCCAGAACTTGACTACATCCAACAGCTACGAAAAAGAAAAGCGTTGCGTCCGGGCTGTGGTGAGGCTTAGCACGGAGGGCTACTTACTGTTAGTTGAGAACAGGAATTGCAGGATCTTCTTCTTTTGGCCGACGGTTGCAAATTTTCTTTGAAGCGGCGACACTGCCAATTGCGGGATTGTACCCAAGTAATGCGACAAGTGTCGCGACTGCTTCCCGACTTCACAAGCACCGATCAGGAACGCATAGGTGATGACCTCGGGGTGTAATTACCCCACAGCACTTTTAAGGCAGATGGGTGGCTGGGAATCGAAGCCGAAAGAAAGCTCGACGAGCGACCCCCTACCCTAAGGCCTGAAGCCAAAACATCCCCCAAGCAGGGCTCTCTTAAGTGATTCTAGCCTTCTGCCGGGCAACGTCCCCTTCCAGTTGCTGTGCATGAGCGTGTTCAAGCACCAGAGCAGCGGCTTCCCACTGTTCTCCCAAAGCACAGGCACTCACGGAAGAAGTATATGTGACCGGATCTGCCTGTTCAGGGCATGGAGAAGATGCAAGATGCTGATATGCACTATTACTATGACAGCCATGTGTAGTTGCGGTAAGTCCAGTAGCCACTGTAGCCACACCTGCCTGGAGATTTGCTTCGAGCAGCTGTGTCAAAAGCAACAGAGCCCTCTGCCACTGCTGCCCTTGGCCGCACGCGCTGATCACGGCGCTGTGCGTGTACACGTCCCCCTGTAGAGCCTCCTCTCCCAGCTGCACCAAAAAATGAAGAGCTTGCTGCCACTCTGCAGCGTTCTCGCAGGCACCAATCGCAGCATTTATGGCAAACCTTGAGAGATCTCTCGCTTGTTAAAAAACAGGGAAAGGGGACTTTTTTACTGAGAGGGCCATCTTCAGTTGGACCTTGAGAAATACGAAAAAGCGTTGATTACCATACTTTCGGAAGGTACAAACTTGCATGGGCCACTATACCCTCTAGCCCTTGAAAAAGGCCCTTTCTCAGGTCGGTTAGGGGGATTCTAAGGTCCAATAGCCCTAAACCCTAAACCCTAAACCCTAATAGCCCATGATGGAAGTGCCAGCAAAAAGGCAGAGTCGTTTGCACCCGCTGCGTCGGAAGCTCCGCCAGCAAGTTCAAAGCTCGCTCCCACTGTTCAGCTCGTCCGCAGCAACGCATCGCTGTTTCAACCTAGCACGTCCAAGTGGGCGCTTAGGGTTTAGGGTTTAGGGTTTAGGGTTTAGGATTTAGGGTTTAGGGTTTAGGGTTTAGGGTTAGGACCTTCAAAAGGTTTCGGAGGGATCTTGGAGTTGCAGGAATTAGGGGCTTTGGGGTTCGGGAGTTTCAGAGTTTCGGAGTCGCCCTGTTGATCCCAAACCCTAAACCCTAAACCCTAAACCCTAAACCCTAAACCCTAAACCCTAAACCCTAAACCCTAAACCCTAAACCCTAAACCCTAAACCCTAAACCCTAAACCCTAAACCCTATGAGGAACAGTGGTGGTATCTTCCTCGATGCGCTCCAGGCCCAGCAGGCTGAGCAGAAGCAAGCCATGCTGCCACTGTGAACCTTGCTCGCAAGCCGCCAAAGTGGCCTCGATGGTACCCTAAACCCTAAACCTACGTTCTTCAACAACGGAAAAGGATGCGGCTCCCGTACGGTTTGGGTTTTGCCCATAAACGCACACCTGCTAAGCACTAGTATAGGGGCCTGAATAATTAGAATTTTTGTCAACGGACCATAAGGGAATATTATTAGTAATTATTCCGAGCCCTGTATTACCTCGCCAACAGGTTCACTAAAGGGAGGTTCACAGGCCAAGGGGCGTTGTATGCTATGACGTTGCACTCGTGCTGCTCCCTGCATGTGGCCAAAATGCACAGAGCACCTAGGCCACTGAGCAGGCAAAGGAGAATCGACACATTGCCCGACTTCTAGAAGCAAACCAAAGTAAGTTCGGTGTGAGCAAGCCCTTCTAGAAATGTAGAACAGTTTGAAAATATTAGAACCCGCAATGGCCCTAAACCCTAAACCCTAAACCCTCAACCCTAAAACCTAAACCCTACTCCTCCATCCTTAAAGGGGCTCCACTCGAGGCACGCTCCCACTGGACAGCCTTTTGGCAAGCACTGATGGTGGCACTGCAAGTGACAACCTCACCCGAAGGGCATAGTCGGGGTTCGGCGTCGTTTCGTGGGTCAGGGATGAGTCAGTTGGTGGCTTCGTCAGGCTTGTGGCTTTGTAAAGTCTAGAGAGATCTTAGGTTGAGGGTTGGAGATGTCGGGGGCTGGGACCTTCGCGATCTGTGCGCAAGATAGCTGATAACTGCTACCATGCAACAAGTCGGAAGGATGGAAAAAGAGAGAGAGAGAGAGAGAGAGAGAGACAGAAAAACTCAAAAGTCTCTTTTCTCGTTTGGATGTGGCTCGTTGGAGGGCAACTTCCGGAGCCACATGTCGGCCAGTAGGGCCAATGACCGCTGCCACTGCGCACCTTTCTCCTTGGGGCTTTGTGGAGTCTTTTGTCGGGGAGTCCTGGGGTTTAGGGTTTAGGGTTAGGGTTTAGGGTTTAGGGTTCATGGTTTAGGGTTTAGGGTCTAGGGTCTAGGGTTCAGGGTTTAGGGTTTAGGGGGGGTTAAGGACTGAAGGGTTCCTCCGGGGGCCTAAGGGCCGCAGAGGCCATCGAACGGAAATCATCGAACCCAGCCGATACTACCAATACTACCCTAAACCCTAAACCCTAAACCCTAAACCCTAAACCCTAAACCCTACTTCATCGAGAAACATCGGTAGCATATCAGTATCGGTCGAACCGGTAGGTAACATCCATGTGAGCAGCAGCAACTCAGAGTTCTGAGTGTAGAGGGGACCAACACCTATTCCAAGGGGCTAAGGCGCTGATGACAGCATTGCGGGTGACGAGATCGGATTGCAGCTCTGCCTGGCGCAGCTGAGCAAAAACCGACACCAAGCGCGCCTAAACGTTTAGGGTTTAGGGTTTAGGGTTCAGGGTTCAGGGTTCAGGGTTCAGGGTTTAAGGTTTAAGGTTTAAGGTTTAAGGTTCCTAAGAGACCCTGGCATCCCTGGAAGGCCTGAACTTGAGACACCCCACAAACTTGAGAAGAAACGCCCCCCACAAGCGCAAATGTTTTGAAGTTCTCCAAAGCTTTCCCTAAACCATACTCGCCCATCCCCCTAAACCGTAAACCCTAAACCCTAAACCCTAAATGCTAAACGCTAAACCCTAAACGCTAAACGCAAAACGCAAAACGCTAAACACTAAACCCTAAACCCTAAACCCACCCCTTCCCCCCTCCCTCATCTGGCCTGATGCAACTCGGCGAAGGTGCAGAGGGCCCAGCGCCATCGGAGGCCCTTCTCGCAGGCGCTGATGGCCGCATTGTAGCTGATCTCGTTGCCCTTCATCTTCCTCTCCTTCATGGGTTTAGGGTTTAGGGTTTGAGGTCTCCCTACTACCCCCTCTAGACTAACCTTTTTCCGAAGCCATACCGTGAATCGACTGTACGTCAACTTCAAGACACGACGTTGGCGCAGCAAAAAGGAGGCTTACCCTCTGCAGACGCTTTAGAACTGTCTTTGCAAACCTGCATTATAGATGAGATTATCTTGTACCGGGGTTTCTTCATAAGATATTCTGCCAAGCGTCTCTTCCCACACAAACTTCTTTGCATGGTGTATCCAAGTTTGCCGGGGCTTCCCAACTCGCTTTTTGCCATACTCGATTCTAGTGGCACTGCTGGGCATAAACGATACCTGTCTTAAAGGATCTGAATCTGTACTACGAAGTATATGACCTAAAAGCTTAGCCCGTCGTAAATTATGGAACTCACTAAATAGTAGTATCTTTCGTTGGTCGTCCCGGCTTGGAAATGCTATCATACTTGCTTCTTCCAGAAGCTTTGCATTAGTATTTGTACGGTCTATATAGGTGTGAGCTTTGTTTAAAATCTTGCGAATGCCCCTCATTTGGAACGCATTGAGCTTCTTTGCCATAGCAGTGGTTAAGTGAATAGTTTCTAGCCCGTAGAGTAGTTTGCTGCGGATAATGGCATCATATACTATTAGTTTCCACCTCTTGCTAGCATGGGTTGCTTTCCAATAAGGGGTTAATTTGATCCAAGTGCGTCTTACCTCTTGTAGCTTGAGGGGCAATAACGGGTAGTATATAGAGGGGGGTAGCAGGGGAACATGAATCCTTGACGGCTCGTTGCTCGTTGCCCCTCAAGTTGCAATGGTGCGGCAGCACTTGCCCACGAGTCTGTTGCTGACGTTATTCCTCTACACCGCTAGACTGCCTTAAGCCTTTCCAGAGCCGCTGCTGGCTGTTCTACCACCCCTTCACTTGATGCTTGACCGAGATTTGCCATGCCGAGTTCTGAAACGCCGCATCACAGAACTCCAAGGTGGGTCGACGGAAGTGGGAATGTGGTGTTCAGGAATCTCTTTAGGGCAATCAAGTCTAAAACTGCATGGCCCAGCGTCTACCAGACCCTGCAGTACGAAGAGGCCGTGCTGCCACTGAGCTGCCTTCCTGATATTTTCACGATCACGATTTCCAGTCTTGCTCACTGTGTTCAAGTTTACAAAAAAGTGCAAAAGACTTCAAACCCTAAACCCTAAACCCTAAACCCTAAACCCTAAACCACGTTTTCTCTTCACTATAACACAAGATTCTCGAAGGAGCTGATCACGGAGCTGTAGGAGATCACGGTGCTCTCCATGGAGAGTTGGCCGAGCTCCACCAGCAGGTGCAAAGCCCACTGCCATTCACCGGCCTGCTCGGGCGATGGTACATATTTGTGTATATATATATACATATACATACATATCTATATATAAATAAACATACGGCAGAATGCATATATATATATATATATATAAGTATATAGTATATACGTAATGTCTGTATAGAGGTTTGCATGGAAGATAGTGTCCTCGCTCGTACCATCGGACCGTGATGCCGTCCGTCCATAATTGGGTACTGTGCAAAATGCATCCACACAGTACGAGTACTACAGTATCTCTATACCCAGCCCGCTCCGTTCCAAGTGCCTCCACGCGTGCAGTTCGAACCACGTAGAAAAAATCTGGGCTATCGTGGTCGGTTCTGGCACGATGTGTTTCCATTCATGCCCGAATTGGGATAACATCCGTGTTGACGGTGCACACATAGCTTCTGCCATGAACCCCTAGAGCCATTTGCTGGCATATCATGCTAAGTCCCCGTATCCACCACCGCCCCACAATGTATAGAGTTTGAGTGCCACACTCGTCCGACCACAAATAGCCCAATAGTCAGCCACCTTTCCAAACATCTCAAGACATGTCTCGGTGTGTTGTGAACCTACCTGGAAAGAATTTTGTAGCTTGCCCCCTGCCGTGACTCACCCACCAAGACGTCAGTCCAAGACTTCTGGCCAGCCACCACCATACCGTTTAGCAGCGAGTTGAAGAAGTTGCTCCAAACCATTTTCGGGAATAGGCCGTTTCAATATTCTGTCAGCCACCAGCACGTCTTGCCAAGAGGGCTTGGCATGACGTCGATATCAGAGCTGGATACTGCAGCAGGCTGTAGTCGATGGCCAAGCTGTTGTTCCGGCGGAGTTTCAAACTGTCTGGGCCACGACAACTGAAAACATAACACTGTTCAGAAGCTCCGAAAGTTCTACAACTAATATCGTCAACACGCTCTGTGTAAGCCCGTTGCAAAAATAGAAGGACACGTTTCAAGGGCACGGGGCCTGCAATTCTCTGCGCAAGACACGCATGTGCTTGTGCAGGTGCGGCTACAGCAGACATGGAGCTGTGGAATCCTGGGGCGTCAGTACGCTAAGTGCATTCAGACAAGATTAGTTCAAGGGTTTAGCGCTCGAACCGATACCAGTACCAGGTTTCAAGTTGATGCTTAAAGTTTGGTACAGGGGCCAGAGACACTGACAGGGCTTGGGACAAGCGCACGTCATCGTACGTCTGAGAGCGGCGTCGGAGGTCGGTGATCACACTGCACATGTAGCTTGTTGGTGATTGTTGCTGGTTAAAGACTGAAGACTTCAGGGTTTCACTAAGATCTTACATGTTGTGTTTAAGCTGAAGGGTTTGGCACCACCCACCGGCCTTCTCAGATGCGCTGATAACAGCGTTCTGCATGATGACGTTTCCTGGCTGCTGCAGAGCCCTCTCAAGCCCACACAAAATCTATCAGCGTACCGTACCCGTTGCCTCGAGCAAGGGCATTGTGCGCCTAAGCTGAAACGCCCATTAACGGAACTGTGCTCGTTGCTTCAACAAAAGCCGTTGTGTTGTTGAACCCGAAGGCGAAAACTACAAGCATCTTCTGGGGTTTGCGCTTGCAGCACGGAGCCCTGTAGATATTTCAAAGCGATTGGCCCAGCAGTACAAAAAAGGGTCCTTGACTTGATCACATCGATAGCCCCTGAAAGCTCGAAAACCGAAAGTTCTACTCCAAGCTGTAAAACTTTGAACAGCTCATATTGTATTCAACTATTCCTTAATTCCTTAAGTCCTCACACCTACACCTTCATTGTCCAAACCCCAAGTCCCAAAAATCGAAAGACCCCCCATTCCTGGCTGATGAGCGCGAGCCGACAACAGCAGGTGAAGAGCGGATTGCCATTCGCTGGCTTTTTCGCAAGCACTGAGTACGGCGCCATAGGTGACAACCTCACGAGGAAAAGGTCTGGGCTTGGCATGTTCCCCCTTATACTAACAGTCTTTAATAGGGAGTATAGTGGTGGACTAGAATCCCTATTAATGACTGTTAGTATAAGGGGGAACATCAAACGTGGGGTTTAGTTTTGAGGGCTGGCATGTGTTGAGCATCGCCAAGTTCAGGGTGGGACCCACGAAGCCTTCGACAAGGGCGCCTTTCAACTGCGAAGTGCTGCTTTATACCTTTCAGCACTAAGCCTCAAAACAGGACACGACTACGACGCGTAACCTGAAACTAACAACTTTCAAGTCGGAAACTCCGGACAAGGGCTTCCCGATGTTTGAAGCTGGCCACGGTAGCTTCAAGATGCCAGTCTGCCAGCTGGGACAGCACTTGAAGAGCCTTCTGTGCTGTTGCAAGGTTTAGGAATTAGGGGCTTCAAGTGGAGGCTGTGCTTGGGGTTGTGTGTTTCGGGGTTGGGTTGGCAGGAGGGTTAGGGCTTAGGGTTTAGGGTTTAGGGTTTAGGGTTTAGGGTTTAGGGTTTAGGGTTTAGGGTTTAGGGTTTAGGGTTTAGGGTTTAGGGTTTAGGGTTTAGGGTTTAGGATTTAGGATTTAAGGATTTAGGGTTTAGGGTTTAAGGATTTAGGGTTTAGGGTTTAGGGCCTAGGGCTTAGGGTTTAGGGTTTAGGGCGCCCGGCCAGCAGCCACTGTGACTGCTGCTCCTGCGCAGTGATGACCGCATTGTAGGTGATCACATCCCCACGTACCTCCACCTCGGAAGATGCAGAAACCCCGCCGACCCCGATAGTTTCGGCGTTTCAACTCAGAGAAGCTCAAAATCCCCCCAAGTTTGAAGATGCTCTACAATATGCAGAAAAAAACCCTCACCCCAAAAGAAACGGCCCTGTCTTCGCCCTCAGAGGCCTCCCAGCATGGGCTATTAGGCCTTATCATTCCCCTAACCAACCCTGTATAGAGGACCTTTTTAAGGGGTCACAGGGTAAAATCGAAACCCCAGAAAGCCCCTTTTTAAGGGGTTATAGGGTATACGTAATCAATCCCATAAAGCCCCTTTTTAAGGGGTTATAGGGTATGATGGCCCATGCAGGTCCCACCTGCTGCATGGATCTCAGCAACTCGGGGACCCAGTGGCCCTGGCTCCCCCTGCCACAGGCACTGATGGCCGCGCTGAAAGCCTGGATGCAGGGCTTGTAGGGTTTAGGGTTAGGTAGGGTTTAGGGTTTAGGGTTTAGGGTTTAGGGTTTAGGGTTTAGGGTTTAGGGTTTAGGGTTTAGGGTTTAGGGTTTAGGGTTTAGGGTTTCAGGGGTTCAGGGGTTCAGGGGTTCAGGGGTTCAGGGCGCAGCGGCTCTCTTAAGGGACCGGCCATGTATGGCTTAACATAACTACTTTAGGGTTTAGGAGATATCGCTTGCTCGCTCTTCCATCAACCACGGGGAAACCTCAACCAGCCAAGGCCCCTGTAACCGCTAAACGCCGACCTCAAGACGCCAAGAGCCGAGAAGCAATCGCGTTGAGCTTTATGTGCGACTGCCGGACTTCGGACAACACTTCCAGAGCTGGGAGCCACTGCGAAGATTTTTCACAGGAGCTGATGGCGGTACCTGGGTTGCTTTGGACATCCAAAGGTTGTACAGAAAGTTAACTGTGAGATACCAGGTGGCTAACTGTGAGATACCAGGTTGCTGCTGCTGCTGCTGCTGCTGCTGCTGCTGCTGCTGCTGCTGCTGCTGCTGCTGCTGCTGCTGTGTCGCTACTACATCCACTGCAACCCGGTTTAAGTTGGCCTTACATCGTGCGGGGTTTATCATGTCATCTCGACGGGAGCTGAGGTTCTTCATCCGAATCGTAGAAATTGTTTCCAAGAGCACCCAAAGCACTGTATGTCACGACGCTGCTTTGCAGCCTCTCGAGCTGAATCTTTTCCAGCCTTGGGTATGCTTCAGGAGTGTTAGTGTTCAGGGTTCATGCACGTTCTTTCGCATCCGAGATCCTGCATGGGCTATTTTACCCTATAACCCCTCAAAAAGGCCCTTTACAGGGTTGGTTAGGGGGGATATAATGCCTAATATAGCCCATGCTGGATCTAACCCACAACACTTGGGCTACTGAGCGCTGAATGTCTCCCCAGCAGCAAGGCCACCGATTGTTGCCAGAGGGAGCCCAAAGCGCAGGTGCTGATGGCTGCGTTGTACGCAACCACGTCCAACTCCTCACAAATGAATTCCGCTAGGGTTAAACGATGATCAATCGAAAGCTGAAGGAAGACAGCACTTTAGAGACTGCCAGCCCCTGACAGGGTCCTTGGGACTCCTACTGATAGCCGTTTTCATTGCAGGGCTCTCGGGGCCAACCTTTGTCACCAGAGAACTCGACCATGCAGATGCTGCAGATCCCGAGTGCTATCTTATGTCGTTTGGCGAAGCCTCAAACCGTGGCCCTGACAGCACTTTCTGATGACTTAACCGGCCCTTTGCCAAATCAGACTCCCGGAGGGATGACGACCTCCCACTGAGAAAAGCTGTGTAAACTCTGGAGCAGCTGGCCCTTAGCCCCTTGAGTCCTCGTCGAGCCGGCCAAATTCCGAGACTTCCGCCCATAGCCTGAGCCCCCATTGCCACTCCTGGCATCTCCTGAAAGGGGAACCCAAACCTGAAAAACTTGCAGCCTTAAACTCAAACTCTACAGTACAGCCCAGAACCTGCGATCCAAGTCTTGCATCCTGCATGGCTTAGGGGTGAGTACCAACAAAAGGCAAAATTGATGTCGCCTGCAGTCGCTCAAAGCGGTGGTGCACTGAATGGCACCCGCTGCGACACGGGCGAGCTCCAGACGAACCAGCACCTCGAAGGGCTGCGGATGGACGGCGGGCTTAGGCTTGCACTCTCGCGGCATGGTGTAATATGAAGGGCACCATGAAAGCCCTGTAGGTTATTCATCTTCAAGAGGCACCGCGCCTGTGCAGCCCGTAGCCACCGCTGACTCTTGTCGCTGACTCTTGTCAGAAGCGCTTGCTGTGAGGTCCTGCCTAAACATGTTGCTCTCGTGACGGACGTCAGATCCCGGCATGCAGAGCATTCCGAACGAAAGACGACGAGCTCCGGCATCTGCTGGCCCTAGCGCGTGTCTTGAGGATGAAAGGCTGCGGCATCGTAGCAGTTCCTCGCCCCATCGGCTGGGCCTGTATATTTGGCAGAGGCAAGCGTGTTGAAAGCGCCTCCTAAACGTCAATTCAACTAAGAAGCAGTTCGGCTGTCCTGACCTAGGGTTCGGGAACGGGGGGCAGGGTGGGGGTGGGGCGGGGCCGGGGGCGCGAACCAGGGGGGTGGTGGGGGGGGGGGGGGGGGGGGGGGGGGGGCGGGGGCGGGGGGACAGCTGGTTTATCGTCTGATCCAAAGTGTCGGTGATGTGGTGTGCAACTCATACTTTTGTTCAGGTCAACTGTTGCGTCTTCTGATGAAGTGAGGCTTTCTCGGCTCCAACCGAAACCCAGAATCAGAAGCTGCAACTCATGCATCTAAACCACAATTTCCCAAATCCCTCGCTTCAGCCCAGCGCCTGTGCTATCCTGTGCTATATCACAATAGCCTACAGCCCTCCAAAGGGCCTATCCAAGAGCCCCCAAAAGCCCTTGACCCTAAAGCCAACATCCGAACGCTCCAAAGCAAGCCCCGGCCTTGGAGTTTCGCGCCTCTTTGGGCACCCATTGTCGCTGAAGGTTCCAGATCTCGGTGGTAATCGGTGGCAACTCAAGGTCTAATTACAGCGTGTAAGTAAGCCCGAGACACAAACAGGCACATGAACGCAAACATCCAGAGGGCCTGTCCAAGGCAGCCCCGTCACTTGTGCCCACGCGATCGCGGGCACTTGTGCCCACGCGGTTTCGGGTCACTTGCGCCCACGTACCCCGTCACTTGTGCCCACGTACCCCGTCACTTGTGCCCACGTACCCCGTCACTTGTGCCCACGTTTCTGGGGGGGTGGGGGGGTGGGGAGGGGGGGGGATAAGAATAAGCTTGTTTGAGGCGGTCAACACAACCACATCCAGTCAACCACATCCAGTCCCAACGGGTGAGGAGGAGGGGGGGGGAGGGGAGGGGGGGGACAAGAATAACATCCAGTCACCCGCCCTGCAACGGGCGGGGGGGAGGGGAGGGGGGGGGGATAAGAATAAGCTTGTTTGACGCCGGTCACCCGCCCTGGGGGGGGCAACACAACCACATCCAGTCAACCACATCCAGTCCTAACGGGTGAGGGAGGGGGGAGGGGGGGGGAGGGGGGGGGGGGAAAGAATAAGCTTGTTTGACGCGCTCAACACAACCGCATCCAGTCACCCGCCCTGCAACGGGGGGAGGAGGGGGGGGGAGGGGGGGGGGATAAGAATAAGCCTTGTTTGACGCCACACACCACACCCAGTCACCCGCCCTGGAAACGGGTGAGGGGAGGGAACCAACATCCAGTCAACCACATCCAGTCCTACGGGTGAGGGAGGGGGGAGGGGGGTGGAGGGGGGGGACAAGAATAAGCTTGTTTGACGCACACACAACCGCATCCAGTCACCCGCCCTGAACGGGGGGAGGGAGGGGGGGGGGGGATAAGAATAACTTGTTTGACGCCACACACCACACCCAGTCACCCGCCCTGGAAACGGGGGGAGGGGGGGCAACACAACCATCCAGTCAACCACATCCAGTCCTAACGGGTGAGGGAGGGGGGAGGGGGGTGGAGGGGGGGGACAAGAATAAGCTTGTTTGACGCGCTCAACACAACCGCATCCAGTCACCCGCCCTGCAACGGGGGGAGGGGGGGGGGGGAAGGGGGGGGGGATAAGAATAAGCTTGTTTGACGCCACACACCACACCCAGTCACCCGCCCTGGAAACGGGTGAGGGGAGGGGGGATGGGGGGGGGGTTCGAGGGGCAAAAACGACTGTTGTTGACCAACGCGCCCTGCACGGTCAGCCGCAGGGGGAGCCCTGCACGGTCAGCCGCAGTGCTTGGGAGGGGGTGGAGGGGGAAGGGGGCGAGGGGGGGCTTGGGCGGGCTGGGCGTCTACAGACATCTGACCCAAGGGGAGCCTTCCACGCAAGGCCTCAGGTCAGTTGTTTCTGGGTCCAGGGTTCGGGTTTGGAGGGGTAAAAAAACGACTGTTGTTGCCCGATGCGCCCTGCACGGTCAGCCGGAGTGCTTGGGAGGGGGTGGAGGGGGAAGGGGGAAGGGGGGGGCTGGGTGTTTACAGGCATCTGACCCGAGGGAAGCTTTCCACACAAGGCATCGGGTCAGTTCCTTCTGGGTTCAGGGTTCGGGTTTCGAGGGGCAAAAAACGACTGTTGTTGACCAATGCGCCCTGCACGGTCAGCCGCAGTGCTTGGGAGGGGGTGGAGGGGGAAGGGGGGGAGGGGGGGCTTGGGCGGGCTGGGCGTCTACAGACATCTGACCCAAGGGGGGCCTTCCACGCAAGGCCTCAGGTCAGTTGTTTCTGGGTCCAGGGTTCGGGTTTGGAGGGGCAAAAAAACGACTGTTGTTGCCCGATGCGCCCTGCACGGTCAGTCGGAGTGCTTGGGAGGGGGTGGAGGGGGAAGGGGGAAGGGGGGGGCTGGGTGTTTACAGGCATCTGACCCGAGGGAAGCTTTCCACACAAGGCCTCGGGTCAGTTCCTTCTAAATTCAGGGTTCGGGTTTCGAGGGGCAAAAAAACGACTGTTGTTGACCAATGCGCCCTGCACGGTCAGCCGCAGTGCTTGGGAGGGGGCGGAGGGGGAAGGGGGGGAGGGGGGGCTTGGGCGGGCTGGGCGTCTACAGACATCTGACCCAAGGGGGGCCTTCCACGCAAGGCCTCAGGTCAGTTGTTTCTGGGTCCAGGGTTCGGGTTTGGAGGGGCAAAAAAACGACTGTTGTTGCCCGATGCGGAATTCGGGGCTGGAGGCCTTGGGACTTTAGGGATTAAGAGCTCTGCGGTTTCAGGTTACTTAAGTTGGTCTCGATTCAGGCTTCCAAGCTTAGGTCTCTGGGGGTCTCATATAATATAGGGTGACATTGATGAGTACATGTTTTGATAGCGATGCTCATGATGTTGGAGCCAGCCCACCCCTGTCGGGAAAATGAAACGGGCAACCTGAGAAAACTGCGTCCACTTGAATGGGGTGACAGGTGGCAGGGGCAGAGAGCCTGCCGGATGTGGCAGGGACGCGACTTTTCAACCGACAAACACCTCATCCTGTGGCCCTGCCATATTTTAAGACCGAAAGGTGGGCACAAGTGACAGGTCTGCGTTTTGGCGGGAGGTGGCCCAAAGTGCGGCCCTGCTGTGATTTGAGGCACGTACGCGGGCACAAGTGACCCGCGTAAGGCGGGCACAACTGACCAGCCTAAAGCGGGCACAAGCGACCGGTCTGCCCTGTCCAAGGGCCCAAAGATCTTAGAGTTCGAGTCGGATTCACATGCTGAAGGGCTTTAAAGACAGGACTTCCAAAAACTAGGAATGACCCAAAACACGCTATCAACTACGCAGGATCGTCCAGCCGCAAGCGGTTGGCAAGTAATGAGCGGGACAGATCCCATTCCTTGCGAGCCATGCAGCTTGGCGGCAAGCTGGGCCCAAGACAGCACAGGTTGCAGGTCATCATGTAGGTGTTCCGCGTTGCAAGTATGTGTATTTGTAACTATACAACAAGAACATATACACGTTTATTTGTTTATTTATTTTACATCTCTCTACAAAACGGGTGAGGGACCCTGGGCGTGCGCTTTCTGCGTATTTGTTCACTGACTTCTTCAACCTTTGCATGGCTATAATTAGAAGAAAAGATACAAGCATGTCTCTCCAACTTGTCGATAGCTAGGTTTCTGACCTCAACTAGGTTGCTGACCTTGACCCTCTGAAATGTTGGGTGATCTGCTGAATGGCCCCTGTAAGGAAAACCCAAACCCAAAACCGTCTAGAAAGCCTAAACCCTTTCAGCCACGAATCCTGAAGCGAAAATGTCGCACTGTCGTTAATAGTAGGGGGTCTACAAACACAAGCTCGCCGGCTAGGTACTGTGACGCTTTTTTGGGGGTCAAGAAAGCTCTTTCTTCCTTCCTTCCTTCCGTAGCACTTGACCATCCAAGGGAGGCCGCCCAGAGGGCGTGCTTCTAGCGAGCCCGTTGGTGATACTGCATGTGAGCTGGTGGTTTCCCCACATTGGGGTTCCTTCTGTTTTGCTCACAGCTGGGTTTAGGTGAAAAGGCGATATGTAAGGGGGGAAGGGGAGACCGCCTCCAGAGGAACAGGTAGGGTCCTCAAGGGTTTCGAGGGTGGGGGACAAGGATCACATATCTCCACCTCAAACCCCTGGTTAAACTCCAAAAAACTCGGTGCCGCACGCCATAGCAGGCCAGTAGTGATCCGAGCAGCGAGACCATCGCATTCAGGGCCTTGGCAGGGATTCGGAAAGCTTCAAGGATGTCGCGTATTGAAAATTCAGAGGCTAGGACAGGGGGATGATGATTCAGGAATGGCCCATTGCCATTCAGCGTGCGAGCATCACGAGCGCCAGCGTTTCGGTAGGGTTTAGGGTTTAGGGTTGAGGGTTTGGGGTTTAGGGTTTAGATTTCAAGGGTGTGAAATGCCTTGGCGGCCGCCGCTGCTCTGGTCGTGGTTGTCGTCGTTGTTGGCGTTATGGTAGCGGTGGGGCGGCCCGACCCATGCTTTGCCAACGCTTCGCATACGCGTGCGAAGCTTCGGAACATGACATTGATCACTTCTCCAACCGCAGACCTCAACTCTTTAATCGGGAACCTTTCTGCTACGCATTCGGGAACAAACTGAACCTTGCGCCCATACGTAAATCCTTGCCAGAAATTTGCCGGTGCCGTCTTTTTGCGACAGCCCGAGTCACGTTATGTCACGCTCATGGTCGAAATAGCGGCATGGCAGACTTCAGGACTTAATGATTCGCCTTCTTAAATCAGAACCTAAGCAAGCAGCACCTCTTTGGGGTTGCAACTCCCTGAAAAGGTGCCCCCTCACGCAGTCATCAGCTGGGGAAGCAGCGTAGCAGCAGACCATCAGGAAAATGAACTCACACTCCTCCAGCGGGCGGTAACAGAACAGTAATCAGGGTTTAG